GCGCGGACGCGTGGGCCTGGTCTGAATCCTACCTCTCTCCTAGGGTCCCCAGGCCCTGCGGCCCTGCTTCCTGCCCGCAGCAAGGCGGCTCTTGGGCGGCCAGGCTGCAGGAGCAGGCCGCGCTGACCGACGCCGAAAGGAGGCGACAAGGCCCTGGAGCAGAGGCAGGGTGGAAACCCGGAAACACCGCCAAGCTCGGGCTGGGAGAGAAGTCCCATCTCGGGTCCAGAGGGGTGGGGGTGACTGACTGCTATCAAGTGCGGAACTGGAGCCAGGGTTCCAGAACAGCAGAAGGGCCAAAGAGGCTCCAGGAAGTGAGAAAGGAGGCAAAACTGTAGGAAAAGTACCTTTCCAAAGGACCAACAAAACAATGCTTCCGGAATTGGGGAGAGATCTTCTAGGCGGGAATGCTTCAACGATGCATAGTTGGAACTTGATTACCCTCCAAAATATCCGAACAAAAAATTTCACCCCTTCCTACCTTCCTCTAGACCCCCAAATCGGAATGCTTAAGGGAAGGAAAGGGTAGGAGATTCAATAATGAGACACTTCCTACAAGTGTCTCAACAGTTTTGGAAGGTGTTGCTTTGGGGGATGCAGCACATGGGCTGGGATCCCCAATTATTTTCTTGTATGGTGGTATCTTCTGAGTATTGAGCGCAACACCCTGCACCTTCGACAGAATGGGCAGCCTGAGATATTAAAGGGCTATATTTCAAGCAGTCTGATTTTAATAGTTTCCAGATTGGGGGATTTCCGAGAAAGGGGGTGCCGGGCCAAAGCATACCCAGCAGTTTGGGTCTGCTTCTTATTAGCAAACGAAAGCTGCTTGCTCTAGGGAAGGCACTGTGGCAGCGCAGTAAGCTAGTCCCATCAGACTGGAACACCTTTGTGCTTGGGGTCCCACAGCCACCAGGGAGCACCCCACTCCTGGCTAATCACTAGCCAGCCAGGTTCCTTGGGTTCCTGCCCCACCATCCCTAGTAGCACTACAGCTGCTGAACATAAGCCTGATCACCCCCAGACCAACACTCAGACTAAGTAGGACAGGAAAAGAGATTGAGGCTAGAGCACTGGATGGAAGGATGAGAACGCATTGGGAAGTAGAAATTAAATCTAATGCTGCGTGCACTGGCTTTGTCACCTTCCTTTCTGTCTTTCTCCTTCCATCCCTTCCTCTTGCCCTCCCCTCTCTCGGCTTCCTTCCTTCCTCTTCCTCTTCTCTTTTACTCTGTCTTTTAAGCAAGTCTCCCACTGCCTGTCCTGCTCCCTGAGGCCTGCCTGGCCTTTCTCCTAGCTGAATATCCTACCAGCCGTCTTTCCCAGCTATCCCTCAAAGCACCAAAGCACCAATGCAGCCAGGCAAGAATCCAGCCTGGGCCCTCACCCAGCACCCAACTTTCATCTTCACCTATCTCCTCTCTCCCATCTCATGTACTCATAAATTATTACAATTAATTACAGCCAGGGAAAGCCATTCACGCCACGCTCCCCTCCCTCCATCTCGCCACCAGGAAACTTGTAGGCAGCCAGCCGGGGCAGGCACAAGCTGGGCCTCAGCCTCAGCAGCCTCCACGCCTCCCCTGGAGCCCCCACCCCCACCCTGCCCTGCCTGGACAGAAGTGGCAGGCATTTGCCCTTCCGAGGTAGAGGGAGCCCCTTCTCTGGCTACAGCCTCCCCTAAAGATCCTGGGGACTTGCCTCCTCCACGACAGCAGCGTGGGGAGCCACAGGAGAAATAATGAGAACTGGATGCGGTTGAGTTTCTGGTTTTTTAAGTGACTTCGATATATTAACACAGAGCTGTTCTACCATAACAAACAGAAGCACGTTACAGGACGGACGCTGGGGGTGAGAGGGAACACTGCTATGTACACGCCCGAGGCGCCGGCCTGCGCCGCCCGACCCAGCCCGTGGCTCAGTCCGGGCCCTCGTCCCTCAGCTCCTGGGCTAGGAACCGTCATGTGTATGTGTGTCTTTTTTGTACAAAATCTGCACGCAGAGCGCCCAAAGCCCGGGAAGGGATGGCCCAGACCAAATACAATACAGGAAAAAAATCAGAAATATAGCAATTCAAGTACTGGCTTCTCTGAAGAAAGGAGAAAAAAAATCACATTTGTGTGCGTCATTTATTTCAGTTGCGCTGGGGAAGAGAATGCAGTTCCTCTCCTGCCTCCTCCTTGATGGGGAGAACTAACTCTAAAACACCAATTTCTCAACACTTAACCCTCCCAAATCGCAAGAGTTTTCCTTTTTCCCCTTCCTTTTTTTTTTTTTTTTCCTTTTTAAGCAGACTGGCTTTTTTCTATCTTGCTCTTTTCTTTTCGTGCTTTCTCCCGCCTGGGTTGGGGCATTTTTTTGTGGGGTTTTTCTTTTTATCCCTTGGCTGTACCGAGGCAGCAGGCTGGGGCTTGGTTTAGGATTGCTCCTTGTCGGTTTTCTCTTTATTCATCTTTTTCATCTTCATCCTCCGGTTCTGAAACCAGATTTTGACCTGCCGCTCGGTGAGATTGAGAACCCGAGCCACCTCATACCGACGGTCCCTGGTTAAATACATATTGAAGAGAAACTCCTTCTCCAGTTCCAGCGTCTGGTACTTGGTGTAGGGGCAGCGCTTCTTCCTCGTGGAGCGGGCGTGGATCCAGTTGGCCACGGGGTTGCCTGGAGGGCCAAACACAGGCAGGGTTCAGGGGCGCCCCTCTCCAGTCCAGGACCTCTACCACCCCGCCCCCAGGCTGGGCTAGGTTCCCCAAACCCAATAATTGAACCTGAATTTGGACACATTTTTGCTTCAGGAATTTTCTCCCCTCTTCCTTTTGCATTCTGCCCCCTCCCCATTTCCCCTTCCTCTTCAGTCTGCAGCACCTAAAACTGTAGGAAATCCGAAGCTATCAAAGCCCCTCCAGTCTGGTCCTCAGCTTCAAGAGCAGTAACTCGAGAATATCCTCATAAAAAGTCCAAATTCCCAACCGTTTCATAGGCCCATAAACGCTTCTCTCTCTTGTTTTTTATTTTTATAGCAAGGTCTCTCTCTCCTCCCCACCTCCCTCCTCCTCTGCCCCCTCCCACCCTCCCAGCCCACAACCAAGTCCTGAAATTTCAGCAGTCCTACTTCCTGACCCTGAGAGTCCCTATGCCCCTCACCACTCTCCCCAGTGCAGTCTCTGCTCAGAGTTCAACCCTGCTGAGGCGAATTCTCAGGGTGATGCTGGGATGGGGAAAGTCCTTCTCTCCTCAGAGAGCTGCTGGCCTTGGGGACAGCCTCCCCCATATCTTAGCGTCCCTGTTGGTCTCCAGTGTCCCCCTCCTGCCAGCCCCAGGACAGGCTCTGCAAGGACCCAAGCTTCCAATTTCAGGTTTACAGGAGCAGCTGAGGGCAGGGAGGGAAATCTTCAGAGGGGTATAATTAGGCCCTGGCCCCTTCAAGGAGGCAAAAAAAATTTCCCGCAGCCCCCCTCATAGGACTGCCTCAGATACTTCCTAACACCCAGAGAGCTGCACCTTCTCCACTGCTGGTTCTCCTCTCCCCTTCCTGGGCCCTGCAGCTCCACCTGCCCCCACCTACCCCAGGCAGCTCTTTGCAACCCTCAGAAGGCTCCTGCCTCCCTGGCTGAAGTGAGTGTGTAGAGTTCTCTAACCTGGGGAGATGAGATGCTTTTCCCACTCCACATCCCTGACCCCCATTCTCACCCCTTCCTCCTGCAGACCCTCAGAAGAGGGTTCTCAAGTTTAAGGAGACTCAGACCCCACTTCTCTCTGGAAGTCTTGATCTCTCCAAGTTCCCAGGCTGTGAAATCTCCCAGACCCCTCACCAGGGCTCCTGGGAGAGAAGCCAGCGGATCTTCTCTTCAGTGAGTCCCTCTTGGGGCGAGGACCCCCCTGCTGATGGGGAGGCACGGGTGATATTCCTCCCTGGGGCGTTTCACATCTGCCCCCAGGTCCTCTGCACCTCTCCCGTCCCATCTCAAACCCTAAAATGCACCTCGCCCCCGCCCCTGCCCCTGGCCCTGTCTACATTTCTTCGAAAGTGGTCACTAAGCCAAAAAGCCTGGCAGGGGAGGGGGCAGGGGTCTCTTTCCAAGCCAGCCCCTGGGAGAGGCGCCCTCTCGGCCCTCTCCCAACCTGGCTCCCTGGGCCCCCTTCTCAGACCTTCCTGCCCCTGAAAGCTCCCCAAGGTAATTCGCTTTTATTGAGTCCTCACCCCCTCACCCTCGCCCCTCTCCCGCGCTCCCTGAGCCGCTCCGAGGGGCTGTAATCCGGCTCCCCCCGCCTGTCTTCCCCTCCCCTCCCGCGCCGGTTGTAAAGGAAAATTGCTCCCAACTTACTGGGGTCCAGGTCGGCCTTCTCCTCTTTGTGCTTGCTGCCGGCGAGGGCGTCCGCCTCGGGCGAGGGCAGTGTCTGCGGGGCGCGGTCGCGCAGCTCCCCGGGCGAGCCGTACATGTAGTCCGGGTAGCTGCGGCCATCGCCCGGGCCGCAGTCGGCGCGGCGCCCGGGGTAGGCGTCCGGCTTGAGGGCGTAGTGACGGCCCCCGGCCGGGAAGCTGGGGAAGGAGACGGCGCCGGACAGCGGCTCGAGCCAAGTCCGCATGTAGCGCGTGTCGGCGCCGAGGTGGGGCTGGGGGCCGTACGGGTGATAGACCACGGACGACTGCGAGGGCACCGGCGCCCACGACGTGCTGAACACTGCGGGCTTGGGCGCGAAGCTACAGGACGGAAAATCGCTACAGTCCGGCACCAAGCCGCTGGGTCTGGCGGCGGCGGGGTGAGCCCCCGTGGCCGGAAACCTGGACGCTAGGAGGTCTTCATTGTCGTGAGAGATGAGCGAGTCCACGTAATAGTTACTGATGGGCCCCGTCGCCGACATCGTAACAGGGTTTTACATACATAAGATTATTGTATGAACTGTATATGTACTTTTTATCTGCTCACAGAACAATCAAGGCAGGTAATTATTTTTCCAGCCTTTTCCCGGCAGCTCATTGGCTCCCCAGCCCCCACGTGATCGTATTTACCCAAAAATACGGCGCGGATCAATGCGCAGGGGCTTTTTTTTCCCTTGCTTTTTTTCCCCCCTCTCCCACCCCCTTCTCTCCGCTGATCCCCGCGACCTGCGTTTTCCTGGGGGTCCGCAACTCTGGACCCAAGGCGCCCGCCAGCCCCGCAGGACGGCTCCTGTCTCATCAGGGAACCCCCCTTGCCCATGTCCACCCGTCAGCAGCTGGCTCCCCCCCGCTAGGAGGATTTTTTAATGGGGTGAAAATGCCAGTCCCCGAAGCCAGGGTTCCCGGACCCCTAGGGCTGCCCTGGGCGCGGGAGCCCCATAGGGGCGGGGAGGCCAGCCGAGGTAGGTGGAGGAACTATTTCTTGACGTAATCCGTCTCTGTCGGCCCGACGCTCCCTCAGTCTCTGAGCGAGCCGAGATCAGCGATTGTCAGTTCGGAACGTGGCTTTTAAAAATGCGTTTTTAAATAGTGTGTATGTATTTCTTTCAGGAGCAGCAGCAGCGAGGGAGGGAGGGTGGGAGGGGACTGGAGAAGCTGGGGTGGAGGGAGGGAAGGAGGGAAACGAGAGCGTCCTCCTGCCACTGGCCGACTGAGCCCCCCAAATCTGGGGTAGGGAAGGCTTGGGGAAGATGGTCTGTGAGCAGGAGGGGGTAGAACTTCAGGATCTCAAACACCTTCGTCATCAGCCTCAGAAGTCTTAGCTTTGGCACAGATACACAAGCGTCTTTATTTTAAATTTATTGTCTGTATCTATTTATGTTTCCTTGCCAGCTTGAAGAAGTGGAGGAGAGATCTACACAACTTAAGTGGGGCATGCCCATCCCGTCAGCCTGCTTACCCTCCTCTGCCCCCAGCTCCATCTCTGCGACACCTTCCCCCCCAAAAAGAAGTCGCTCCCTCGTTCTGTCTGCAGAGAGCCTGGGTGAGAGCGGGCGAGGCAAGAGAGCGACCTCGGTCGTGGGCAAGTAGCTTGTTTTTACGTCCTTCAATAAAATTTTTATGAGGATCATTTGATTGTTCATAAATGTGTCTTTCATTAAATAAAATTGTAGGCTGTTTTTGGAACGGGAAAAAAGCAACGGAGGGATAGGAGGGGAAAGCAGGTTCTTTGGGATCGGATGCAGGAATTCTGGAGGGGGCAGTGTGATTGTGGGAGAGTATCAAACAACTTGGATTCCTGTATAAGTTGGTTGCTATCCTCCTCCTTGAATTTGGGGTTCGTTGAACAGCCCTAGGCTGTTCCTTCAGACTGTCCCATTGTGGTTTAGTAAATGGGGGGGGGCTTTGAACAAGCAGAAAATCCTCAATGTGGGGGCAGGAGTGGGGGCAGGGAGGTGTATGGGAGGAGAGGGGGCGCAGGTGATGTCCTCAGAGACAAGGTGCACCTAGGCAGGGCACAGGGAGTTTGAAGGGAGGGTGCAATTTCAGGGTCAGAGAGAAGAGTTCCAGTCTGCACACGGGGAAATTGCCAGGAGCTGAGCTGTGATGCAGGCTCTGAAGGCAGCAAGCAAGGAAGGAGGCTTCCCAGACCCAGCCACGCCTGCCTTTCCCCTCTCCGGTCCCCAGGAGGGGACCAAACGCCTGAGATGGGGGTGGGGGCTGCATTTCAGCCGCATCTGTATCTATCTCCTCCTGGGTGGAGAAGGGCTGGAGAGTGTAGTACTGCGTTGGAGGGGGAAGGAAAGTTGGGAGGAGGATATAGCTCAGCCAGCAGCATGAACCCCAGCTCCAAGGGCCCCCTCCCCAGTCCCTGCTCCTCCCCTTCTCTGGTTCTTTCCTTTTCGGTCTAGCGGGGCTGGGATTTCGAGGCAAGGGGGGGATGAGGGAGAGGTTATGGGCCTCAGCCCTGGCTCCCCTCAGCTGCGACTGTCTGCCCCTCTCTCGGGCTGGACTGGCTGGGAAACCCAAATTACAACAAGAAACAGAAAATCCCTTTGGCCTTGATGGAGTCGGGTTAGCTGTCAATCAAAAATTCTCCCTCACTAGTTCAAGGAAAAGACAGGGGATTCCAGTCCCTCTGCAGAGGCTTTCTCCAAATCCTCAGTGCAGTCGCACCTCCCCCAGCCCTGGGTGGCTGGGGACCCGGCCTGGCTCTTAGGCGGCTGCTGGCAGCGAGGAGCAGAGATATTTAGCCTTCAGCGGGGCCCGGGGCCAGACTGCGACCAAGAGGACATCAGAGGACACAGCCTGAGAGAGACCAAGCCCCAGACGGCCTGAGACAGACCGAGCGAAACACGGGGCCAGGCCCGAGGAAGGAAAAAGGAAACGGAGGATGAGGATAACCAGCAAAGAGGAAGGAAAGAAAGAAAAGAAGAAAGGCACGATGAAAAGAGATAGGAGAGCAGGGAAAGGAAGGCATGCGGAGAGCGGGGAGGAGGAGGAAGGGCAGCAATGCGCAGATACGCAGGCAGGACGGGGCAGGGGCGAGCTGGCGGAGCAGCCGTGGCATTGTGCAGTCGCTTGCTCGCCCGGCCTTTGCCGCGGGACCAGCTCGGGGCGCAGCAGCCACTTCTGTCTGGACACAAAGGCGGAAGAGGCCTCCTCTCCTGTCCCTCCTGGGAGACCTGCTCTGGTGGGTACACTAGGCCTCTGGGATACAGAATCCATGTTGGCCCAGGCAGCCGCCCAGGCAGCTGGGGACTGAATCATGCTCTAGTCAAGGAGCAGCGAAGAAGCAGAAAAGGAGAGGTTTTGTGTCTTCACCAGGTTGCAGGCCCTGTCTGCCTCAATCTCAGCTTCCCCAGAGGAGAGAGTCCTTAAGGGTCTCCTCCTATGGGCTTCTGCTATGTGGGAGAGCCCCTCAAATAGACTTGGTGGCTGTAAAGAGATGTCTCTTCTCTCCTATCCCCTTTGAACACGGCCTTCTTTTCAACTCTTGAGCTGCCTGCGAACCAGGCCCGCTATCCTGCGGAGGCAGCAGCAGCCTGGCTGTCAGGATCACTGTCCAGAGATCCCTGTTGCCATCAAATTCTCCAGTAAAGAAACCAAGGGGGAACTGTTGCCTTCCCTTCCTTTTGCAAGTAGGAACTCTGGACCCTCCCCACTCAGGCACAGGTACAGCTGTGGGTCAGGAAGCAGACCTCACCCACAGCCCCCTCCTGGCCAGCGCCCCATTCTCCCTATGCCTGCGGAGAAGGGAGCTGTGGGGAGGACAGCTTGGGAGACCCTTGGAGGGACCCTTGGAGAGCCTGGCCCACTAGGCCCAGGTCCTGCAGGTTCCACAACTGCATGTGGGGTAAAGCTCCCATTCTCCATATTTAGAAGCAGAATGGCAAGTCAGGGAATCTGAAGCAGACTTTTAGGCTTCCCCCAAATCGAGGCTTGTTAGGTGAGGGGCAAGAGGATAGGGGGGCCAAAAGGGAGGAGCTCATCTTCTTGGAGTTCCTCCTGCTGCATCTCCTACCATACTCCAGGAGTCCTCACCTTTGCCACTCCTTCAATTTTCCCCAGCACTCCTGGGGCAACCTGAGGGACCTGAGGCACTGGGAGTCCCTGTTGGGAGGCGGGGGAAACCCCAGCTCTAGCTAGCAGCTCTGTATTCGCTCTGGTTCTTAGCATTCCCCTCCCACGCCCAAAAGATTTCACTGGGCACCCAAGAGCCCGCTAAGGGGGAGGGGCACCCTTCCTCCATCACCTCAAACCTGGACAGCTGAGACCACAATCAAGCTAGCATCGTGGAAAGGACAGAAAGACAGGTTAGAGTCATCCCCTCCCCCTGCCCCGCGTCTCCCTTTTAGTGATTTAAATTCCCTGCGGTTCAATCCACACCGTCAAGTTCGGATAAATTTAAAACAGGCTTTTCCCTGTGCCCCCAGCGGGCCATCCCAGCGGCCGCAGGCTGGAAGCCCGCTCCCGGCTGCCCAGCACCCGCCCTGCGAGGAGGAGGCCGTGCTCCATTTGCTTTCATTTTCCTTCTCCCCCTGAAATGGGCTCATTTCACCTCTCCGCTGCCCTCTCCCCATCCCCGCCCCCTCCCTGGTTCCCTTCTCCTTTCCCCCTTCTCTCTCGATCCCTCTTTGTTGGGAAAAACACACCCACACACAACTCCTCCTAGCTAAGGCCTGCGCTGGAAGCAGAATCTGAGTTTTCCTGGCCTGCCCGAGAAGACCCGCGTCCTGCCCCCACCCCAGGTGGGTATCCCGGATCCCTGCACACCAGGAGCCAGGCCCCCAGACCCAGCAGGACTGAAACCCCCTGGGCCTGTGAACATGGCCCTCTCAACGCCACGGCCTGCCGGGCCTGCCTTCCCGCCGGCGCCCCCGCCCTGCCGCTCCGCAGCAAACGGGGCTATTTCCGGCTCCCCCAACACGGTCTGGTTTCCCAGCCCGGGGAGTGGCTGGAGGGGGAGCCGCCCCAGAGCCAGGGCTGCTCTCTTCCCGGAGTTCCAATGGCCCTGAGCGCGCTGTTACCTGATCTTTTGTGTGATGTATGTGTCGCAAGGAAATTTGCAGTGACTTTGGAGCCCAGACTGAGGAAGCAGAGGTGGCGAAAGGAGAGACAATACGGTCCCGAAGTACAATTAAGGAGCCAGAGCCGCTCCTCTCTCCCCCGCCCTCCCTGCCCGACTGGGAGCTGTCTGGTCTCCAACCTCTGGGCGACTCGAGAACCTGGAGCCGGAAACTCAGCCCCTGGCGGAGGGAGCCAGAGCACTCCGCACCCAGAAACCCGGAGGGAAGCTGCCTTCCAACCTGGGGCACCGTAGCCAGCCCCGCTGGGTTGCAGCGAATCCAATGAATGAAAGTGCACATTGCGACGACGGATTTGCCCGAATTTTCTCAGCCTTTGGAAGGAGAGCCCAGGGTTTGGGACTTCTCCGACAGACAGACAGACAGACCGCATCTCCTGAGGCAGACAGGCTCACAACATGAGTGTGAGCCTGAAATCATATACAGGTTCAACATTCCCGAGGCCTCTTTGCCAGGCCTGGCGGGCGCCGATCTCTCCTACCTTCTCTCCCGCCAGGGCCTCGGGCAGAGACCCCTAGGACTCGGTCCGCTGGCTGGGTCCAGTCCCGCCTCGGGAAGCGCCTTCGTTACCTGCTCCTCGGCTCCCCACGGCCACAGACGCAGGGCAGCCGCCTCCCGCCGGGGAGGGAAGCCCCGGCCACCACCGCAGCCGCCGCCACCCGCCCTCCTTCCCTCCCTCCCTCCTTCTCGCCCTCCCTCCCTCGCTCCCTCCCTCGAGCGCTGCCGCTCGCGGGCCCTCCCGCGGGCAACCTGCTCTGGACCAAATCCAGGTATCTCCGAAGGAGAAAAAAGGGAAGGACCTCTTAGGCGGAAAAGGAAAGCAGCAAAAAAGAAGCACCCTAAATTGCATTTATTTTTCATGCTCTGACCGGTGGTCGGCCTCAGTTCCAGTGTCTGGGACACAGCCCAGCAGCCGCAGAGGTGTGCTGGGCCTGCTGCCTCGCCCACGCCGCCCGCCGCGCCCCGCGCTCCACACCCTGGGCCGCCGCCCCCGGCAGCCCAAACACCCGACAGACCTCAAGGTCCTTGCTACAGACTCAACATCCGGTTGCCCGCCTCTGCGCTGACCACAGCCCTGGAGCCCGCTCTGCTCCGTCTGCGGCCAAAGTCCACACACAATCCACCTTGTCGGAGCTCTCGCGCCCAGCCCGGACACCCTTCCCGGCGAAGCCGCCCGCCGCCGGGCTACACTTGGGCTGCGTTCCTGCTGGGAACTTGCAACCTCGTCCCCTGCTTGGGACCCACACAAAGCCCAGTGTGCCGGCCTTCCTGCCCGTAGCCCCCCCATCGCCGGTTGTCGCCTTCCCCTTCACCTGTTCCCAAGAAGGGCTGCATCTCCAAGCGAGCCGAGGCAAGGCCGATGGATGGCCGGAGCGAGGTCCCGGGGAGGCCACAGCGGATCAGCCCGAGGCCCCGCAGCCGCGGAGACAGCTGAGAGACCGAGCTTCTCCTTGGCGAGCTCTACCCTTTTCCTCCTTCTCCCGCAAGTCTCAAACACTCACACGCCGAGAGTTCAGCTCTATAAATCCTGCTCCTCTTTCCCATATCATAATTAAAAAAAACCAGTAGGGGAGGTTTTAACTTTTATTGCGATTTCTAGAGTTGGGCTGCGGAGCATATATTAAGTTTACGCTTATGCGCTCTCGGCGGGGAGGGTCCTTTAAGAAATAAAAATCCATCTTAATATCTGCAGACGAGAGAGATAATTTTTTCCCTCCTCTTCACGCTGCTCTTTCTGAAGACTCCCTTCCAGCGAAGCGAATAAATAATTACCACCGCCTTAGCCATGATCCACGGCCTCAGGGCCCCGGGGTGGACTCGGACCACCAGACTGGCCCTCACCTTGGCCCTAGGAGACCTTGCTCCATTTCGTGGGTTCTGGGGAGGAGGAGGACACCTCAGCACTCTGGCCCTGTGGCCTCCTCTATAAATCCACTAGCTTTGAGATGGAAATTGGGGCAAAGGGACCTAAACCCTGAAATTGTTCATTGGTGAATTCGGCCCATCGGGGGACACTACCTCCAAGTCAAGTGCTCCTTGGCACGCTGTTACTGCCTGATTCTCCTTTCACCCCTACTGGCTGTGTGCTTGGGGCAGCCTGAAGACTTGGAGGCCAAGCCAGAGGAGCCCTTGCATGCCTCCCACCAGCTGGCCTGCCTCTCTGGAAACTTCCCCCATTTCCCTGGAGCACTTCCCTTCAAGGGAATTTTTTTTTTTTTTTTTTTTTTTTGCCTTCTCCAACAAAAGGAGGGCGGGGGACAGACAGACAGACAGTTCAGCTGGGGAAATGAAAGCCTCTATTTCCATTCTCTCCTTCAGATTCCCTGTGGGTCAAAAATACATGAGGCAAGGGGAATAAGTATGTGTCTAAGTACATACAGGGGATTTGAGAGAGCCTAGAGGAGACAGAGGTGGAAGCAGAGACCAGCATTTATGCAAGGTCACACATACCCCCCTAGCAAATGGCTGTGAGAATATAAAAGTCTATGGATGTATACTGTTACAGGGACATGATTTTGTTCCCTGCTTCAAAGTTTCTTTTGGGAATCATGATTATTTCACAGTAAGAGAACTAAGAGCCTAACCTCCTTCTTTTGGCTTCTCTTCCCCAGTATCTCTGAGAATAGGGGTGTTATCGCCTCATTCTTCCTGACCCCTCCCCCATTTTTCTCCGAAGGGCAAGAAATCTCTTTGGAGACCCTTTTCTCTAGCAACCAGGGACAGAACTGAAGCCCAAGGAGAAAGGAGTGGAGGAAGCATGCAAAGTTTCTCATTGCTCAGATTTCCCCTACTCCATTCTCCTCCCCTCCTCCCTCTGGCATCAGCCAACAACCTTCCCAACAACATGGTAACAGTGGGCGCTGGCAGCCTCTGTTCACCCAGATACTTTCACACCGCATAAAGACAAGCAACTCCCTGACAGCCGTAGACTCACAGACACACAGACCAAGGCCTATGGGCATCAGAGAGCTAGACAGACCAGAGCCAGGTTTTCGCACTAATGTTTCCCAGTAGGACATGCTTGTGAGGGTTTCTACTTGGACTTGATGGCTTTCCTCTAAATCTACTAAATCCCCAAATATGTCCTTTTTCTGGAGATGGAGCTATAGAAAGGGAAGAGGAAGTGGCTGGGCTATCGCTCAGAGTTCCCTAACTCTTGGAACCTCCAGGTGCCCCACTTTTTTGAGAAGCTCCAGTCCTAGCAAAGAGGAGGCTTAGTCTTGAAAGTGGCAAGTAAGAGAAGGTAGCCTTTCCAGAGACGTCCTCCTTCTGTGTGCCTCTCTCCCCTAAAGATTCTGCCCCACCTTGCTGTCCAAGGGAGCTGGGGCACCAGGCCAAACTCAAACTCTGGAATTTCCTTGGAATTGGCTGGACCTTCTTTGTCTGTCTCCATCAGCTGGGCCCAGGAGACAATAGCTGCAGGGAAAACTCCTCTCCCTCAGTCCCAGGGGTTGGGACAAGCTGAGGAGGGGACGGTATAGAGTGGGGTTCTCTAGACTTATCCCTCGGCCCCACTCACAGCTTGCCCCCCTCGGTCTGCACCCACAGTGCCCCATCTGGGCAGTCCTACTGGGGAGGGAAGGAGGAGGAGAGATGGGTTAGGGCCCTCGACGAAAACCGACTGATGTAACTCAGGCAGTTTCTTGTTGCCGAGTTCAAAACTCAATCCCAACAACATGAAACTACCTAAGCCACAGATCAGCTGAGAGAGCAGGGCGGGAGATTCGGCTTTGCACCTATCCAGAGGAGAAGGGAAGGGGGTTGGGGAAGGAAGAAATTCAGCCCCGTCCCCCTTTCCGCCCCCCACAACCTCCCTAAGGGCTAGAGAGCGGACTTTGGGTGGCTGGGTGGCTGTGGGGGGGGTCTGCCTTCATGGGTTTTAGATCTAAGCAAACTGCTCTGGGAAAATCTGGTGAAACGGGACTGCTAGCTGCTAAGTCCCTGCCCCACCCCCAGCACCGCAGTGGAGCTATTTCCCTGCATCTGGCCCTGGCCCTGGGGGGGAAGCTGGATTGTCCTTCCACTCTGGAGCTGGGTCCCCTGTTTTGTCCATCTGGCTCTCCTGCACTCTCCTCCTCTCTCTGCTCCTCTCCCTCTCTTCGCTCCGTTTAGGTTTCCTGAACCACAGCGCCTGTGCTCTGGAGCCACGTCCAGCCAGGCCACTTGCCTGGCAAAGCCTCACAACCAGGGAGCATGAGGACCAAGCGCCTGAATTAGGCTCATACCCACACCAGGAAAAAGCAGGAAAACCTAAGCCTCAAGCTCCGACCCTTGCTATCCCCCAAACAGACAACAACACTCAGAGACACCTAGACTGGTGTGTCGACCTCGAGGCGGCCCTAAGTACCCACAAAGGTAAAGAAGCCAAAACCACCAATTCACCCCCTAACCACCGAACCCCACGGCAATGGGCCGGGAGAGGAGGAGAGAGAGCTCATAGCCACTGCCCTCGGCTGCCAGCAGTCACAAGGCAAGCCTGGGCTCTGAGCAAGCACCGATGCCCGAAACACCTTCCCAGCTCTGCCCGCTGCATGCTGGGCACCTGGGGATGCTGCGAGTCCCCGCTCTGCCACCAAGAGAAGAACAAGAAACCGCTTCTCTTACCTTGTCGCTGCCTCCTCCTCCTGCTGCTGCCGGCGTTTCTGTTAGCTGCTGTCGAAAGGGGGGGGTGAGCTCCTCGTACCCCTCCAGCGGTTAAGTTTATTCCTCTCTTTGGATGGGTGGGGGGCTCTTGGGGTGCCCCCCAGCAGTGGTGGGGTGCGCCCAGCCCAGCACCCCAGGCAATCAGATCCGTCTGCTCCTCAAGATTGCAGTTTGCTCTCTGCCTCTTTCCCTCCTCCAGTCACCTTTAAATGCATCTTTTACTGCAGCACCACATTATATTTGCAGATCATAAAATCCACCTCTCGCGCGCACCAAGACCGTCCTGACATTACTGTTTTATGACCTTGACTTATTGTGGTCACCTGGATAATATTTAAATCAACGTTATGGTCTCTCACTTACATTAAACCCGCCAAGAGACGTTCTAGAAAGGATCTAGGAGATGAGTCAAACACAAAACACACACATCCACACACTCAGCTTCTTTGGGGGAGGGGGGTGTCGCTAAAAAAACACTAAAAACAAAAAAACCACCCATTTGAGGATTACGATTCCGGAAATTTATTAGGATTTTTTTTTTCTCCATTAAGGAAGCTACATGCAAAAGATACAACATACAGAATATCTTTAAATAACACAACTCCCAGACAAGGGACAGGGCAGTTTTGGGGGGTTGTTCTGTCTTTGCTTTGCTATGTTCTATTTTTAATTTTTTGTTCCTCTGGATGGAATTTCTGAGCTGTTAGTGGATGGGGGATCTGGGGGTGCTGGGAGGGGTGGGAGAAAAGCGGAAAGCAGTACAAATACAAGACTTCAAGCAGATTCTCAGAGCGACTGGAAGGTAAAGACACGGAAAGGGGTCTGGTGGAGACACGGGAGGCTACGACAAACACACAAATACTAGCTGAACTTTCCAAAACGTCTATTATTCTAAGGAGGAAATGCAGCAAGGAAAGAGCGATTCTGACTGTGCTCTGCGAGATTACAGACCCTCTCTGGTTGCGTTTTTGTCTTTTTTCCCTACAATCGGGTGGATTCGATCTTAACTTTACATGGAGAACAGAATGCTCTGTGTGAGTGCGTGGGTAAGTGAGGGGTTGACACACACACCAGCCACACTCCCACCCCATCTAGGAGGGCTCACACCACACCCCACAGCCCGCCACCCCATTTCTCATGCTTTAGATGGAAGCATCCTTGCAGCACGAACCATAGGTCCCTTGGAAGGAGAGTCTGAGGTCTTTGCCTTTTTTGCAGGCGCGTTGCATTTATACTCAGGGAGGAAAAAAAAAAAATATCACCAGGCACAAAGGGAGGAGGGGCGGGGAAAGGAGGGGGGAGGGGAGGCCGCGCGCTCAGGTGAAATTAAAATTGGAGGTCAGTTCCCGGATCCGATTCTCTCGGTTCATTTTCTTGAGTTTCATTCTGCGATTTTGAAACCAGATTTTGACTTGTCTGTCTGTAAGGTTAATGGTCTTGCTAATCTCCAGGCGGCGCTCTCGCGTCAAATACATATTGAACAGAAATTCTTTCTCCAATTCCAGCGTCTGGTGTTTAGTATAGGGGCACCTCTTCTTCCTTCCGCTCTTTGCTGTCAGCCAATTTCCTGTGGTGTTTTCTGCCTTTATCTCCTCTGTTAAAAATAACATTATTTGCATAAGTATCCCTTGAAAATGCAAACCCTCGCAGCAGCGCTGCAGCCTTGGCCAGCCTGCTGTGGGGTCAGCAGAGGGAGGATGGGGAGCTGCTCTGGTCCCTAAGACTTGGCGGTGGGGTCCTCTTGGGCTCGGGGCTCTTAGAATCTCTTTGGGAGGGGGTCTGGAATTTGGGGGTGGGTGATAAAGGGAAAAGGTTCTTGCCCTCCAAGGATTTATTCAATTTTGATTACCCAAGTCTACTTTAACCTAGCAGATCCTAAGTATTCTCACTTTCCCCCCTCCCCCCCCGGCTTGCTGGCTCTGGTGGGGGGGTCCTAAGCCTCTCTAGACCCTCCCTCAGCGCTGTGATGCTCCCAATCTAGAAAAAAGTGAACCAGACAGAAAAAAAGCACATTTCCAGGCCCCAGACCTGAGTACAGAGTCTACCCCACAGTCCAGGGCCAATTTCCAGAGCTTTGACCCTTTTCAACTTGGTGGAGGGACTTTGTCCCAGTTTCTGCCGCCAGAGGCCATTGACGCTGTCCTTCCACCAGGCCCCCAGGTCTTACTCCCACGAGAGTTGCCATAGAGTGAGACTGCCCCATTCAGCCTCCCTGTTGTAATCTCTTCCTTTCCTGGCCCTTACCCCCAGGTGAGTGTAACTGAAGCAGGGAAGCTTATTCCAGCAGTGGAGGTCAGGGGCAATAGCTTGGGGCATGCTGAAGGGTCTTCAGACAACTTCCTGGCCTAAGGTCAAGGTAGAAAGATATTCTGAGGTATTGCAGCCCCCTAGAAATCTGCCCAGTCTGTGCATAGGAGATATGTATGGCTGTAAAAAGCACATGTATACCTGTAGAGATACATACACTTATACACACAGACACGCAGAGGTATGTACATATGTGTCCACTCATACAAGGACACACTACAGTATAGTATTTATTTCCCATTATTTTATTGACAGCCCCTTTTCTTGGCACATTCTTTTTAAAATGGACAAGCTTTCTCTTCAAGCAGCAGGAGAGAACTTGGCTATCTTTTTTTAGGGAAAAAGATGGAATCCAAAGATCTGAGAGGGAGCACCCCCGCAAAGTACTCTGCTGATGGCTCTGCGCTTTTCCTCTCCCTTTGCCAAAGGATGAGGCCAGGTTCCAGTATCCTATCTTGACTGGGGGTGGGGAAGGGAGCCCCGGAGGAGAACCAGGAAACACCAGAAAAATGCAAACTTGAAGCTACAGGGAAAAAAAATCTCAGGGTCTTTAATTATTCTGCTTCTGCACCTGCAGCTTCCTGCCAAATTGTTTACAGGCTCTGCATAACTAACTCCATTCTGTTTATTTTCTTACGGGGGTTGTTGGGCTTGGGGAGGGGTGAGAAAAATTACAAATGGAGTTTAGCCAAAAGCTCTCTTGCCCCTGGCCTGGTGGAGATACCAGGGGGGCTGGAGGGAGAAGAGCACAGGAGAAGTGCAGGCTAAGGGGATTAGGTGGATGAGAGGGCTTAGAGGGTGGCATGGGATAGCAGGAGAGAAAGGGGCTTATCCCAGTGGGCGCAGTTAAGAGCTGGGCTTGTTAACCTTGACGTTGCTTTTGGTGGGGCTAGAATATAGCTATTTCTACTTTACATCCGCACCCCCAATGAAGCTCAGGGTCTGCAGTGAGGGTATAAAATCAAACCTTCACACTGCAAGTGTGCCACAGCGAAAGCTTCGTGCTCCTGTGTGTGTCTCCCTCTCCCTCTCAACCACGCAAGCACACTGTGGTCATTTTCCAACCAGGGTCTCTGTGGACTGATTTGTCAAGGCCACCTTGGCAGAGAAGACCCAAGATGGTGAGGCTCTGTCACTGCCCGCCAAAAGAGTACCTGTGCATATGTGAGCAGGCATGCCTGAGTGTGCGAGGAACATGCAAGAGGGGTGTGTGTGAGTGTGACATAGGTCGCTGTCAGGCATGCGTGTGCATCGAATCCATATACAAAGCACCAGAAGACCCAGACCAACCCCAGCCTGCTCTATTCTCAATATTCCACCTACCTCTCCACTCAGGGAGCCCCCTTTATGTACTGCTGCCAGCAGTCACTGTCAAGGGGAGCAGGTTTACTCCCCCCTGTTGGGCCTTTTCCGGTGTTTTTTAGTCCAACTTTTCAGGAAAGTTGTTCCCTTCAGGCTCCCTCCCTTGCTCCTGTTTCCACCACATTCTTTTCCCAGGTGTCAGAGAAACGTCCTGAAAGCCCCCAGTTCGCAGAGCAGAAATGAATCTTGGACCCTGAGCTTGAACTCCGCCTAGGCGTTCTCTCTTTCACCAAAATCACAGTGAAACCCAACCAAAGCTACACTCCCTTCAGGAGAAAACCATCTGCCACACACACACAAAATTTCCAACCACTCATTTGTAGGCTGCTTTTGGAAACCAATGGGGAAAAAATGTAATTTAACTAAAAAAAGGAAAAGAAAAATACGAAAAGAGGAGACAAAAAACTTCAGCGTTCCAAGTGCCCTGTTCCAACGCCATCCTCAGGCCAGGCATCTGGGAGAGAGGGAGGGATGTGGCGGGCATTGCTTCACCTCCACCTCTTCCGGCCTTAGTGCTGCAGCCCAAGGCCCCTGGCCGAGCCAAAAACCAAAGGAGCCCAAAGCGCACGCAGAAATCAGACCCACAAACAACAAATCCAGTTTCTCAGGAAACAATTCCAACTGGGAAAATGCAGGAAAGAGAAATTCTTCATCTTCCAAGCCTTCCTTCGTCCCTAACCCAAGATCGCCATTTTAAGCTTTTTGTGAGCCTTTGACCTGAGTGGGGGACATCAGCCCCCCAGTACACCAGCGCTGGGAAGACAAATCAAAGCCAGCACACACCGGGGAGTGGTCACCGGTCCTCCTGCTTGTGGTGCGCACAGCACCCAGCCCCCTGCCTTAGCACCCAGGGCCCGGGCTGGCCCGGCACCTCCACGTCGCCGCGGTTTACCTTCCCCAGCTAAAAGACGCGCCACCAGCTTGGCGCTCAGCAGACCCCGGCCGAAAGCCGAGGTCGCATTCCCCAGACATCACATCCCCGAGGCCTCAACCCGACCCCTCTCCCCTGCCCCCATCCGGGCCAAGAAGACCCAGTGCCCGAGAGTCCCAGCCGGGCCCGCGGCCCAGGCGGCCTTACCTTTCGCTTCGTTATCCGAGGTGTCTGGGCTGGAGTCGGCGGTCTTGGCCCGGTCCTTTTCGCTCTCCGAGGGGCTGCCTTTTGGGCCCGCCAGGCTCTGCTCCGTCTTGATCTCGTTGGGGCTGGGAGTCTGGCTGTCGGATTTGGGGGTCTCAGGAAAACTCACTTTGCCCCCGAGCTGAGGCGATTCCAGATGTTCGGCGCGCGGGTTGAGATTGGCCCGCTGCTCAAAAGGGGCTTCGAAGTCGTTGGCCCCGGCACAGTGGGGCGTCTTGTCCAGCGCCGAGTAGCTCGGGCTGGCGCGGTAGTAGCTGGGCACGGGCACCTCGTGCTCCCCGAGGCAGGACTCCGGCAGGGGGTGGGAGTAGAGCGCTGCCTCGGGGCCACTTTTCGCCCGCTTCTCTGCGCTGTACATGCAGCAGACATTCTCCTCCTTGACACTAGGTGGGTAGGAGCAGGAGGACAGCGGCCTGCCAACAGGTTGTTCCAGGCGGTAGGCGGCTTTGGGGTCGCCCCAGGAGTCCAGCTGCGAGAGGTAGGACGGGTAGGTGTTGAGGGCGAGGTTGGGGCTGCCGCCCTCGTCCCTCTTGGAGAGCGAGGGCGCGAGCCCGCAGCCCCTCATCACCCCGCAGTTGAAGTCACTCCCCGATTGCATATACATGCCTGCGCTCCGGCTATAGCGCTCTCCTCCGCCGGGCGCAGCCAAGGGCTCCGCGTATGAGTTCGAAGTTACATTGCGAGGGCATGTCATTTTCAGAGAGAGGGGTTTTTAAGGAGCAATACTACAGCGGAGGAGCTGACATCTTTTTTTTTCCCCCATCCGGGAAGGGGGGGGCGGTTGGAGGGGCGGGAGGAAAAAGAAGGGGAGGGGGGGAAATATCAGCTCCATAATTATCCGCGCATTCGGTCCTCACCATGTGACGGCTAGACCAATGGGATTTGAAAATGGCCTTGATGATTCAGACGGCCGTGACGTCAGCGGGGTCAAGTTGTCGGCAGGCGGAGCGCGCAGCGTGGAGTAACAGCGCCACCTAGCAGCTGCCTCGGGGTAGGGGCACCGGAGCCCTTCCCCGCGAACAAAGGAAGCGCCCCCCGGGCGGCCGGGGCGGGGGTGGGGGGTGGTGGTGGTAGAGGAAGGAGGTGGAGGGGTTCTGGGGAGAGTGGGGTTTGTTTTCCCGGGAGCCAGCCAATAACTCCTGGGGAGAGGGGGGTCGGAGAGGGGAAAATTGCTGGACAGAGGGAGCGAGGCAACCCGGGGCTCAAAACAGTCAAATTCAAATTAAAAGGTCAAGACACGACTCAGGTACCTCCTCCCCTCTCTTCATCTCCCCTTTCCTTCCCCTCAGCTCCCATCCCCACTTCTTCTTTAGGGGTGGGAGTGGGGTGAGGTGTTTTGTTTTTTGGCGGGGTGCTTTGGGTGAGTAGAGAAAGTTAAAGAACCGCAAACAAGACCAAAGTTTCTGCTCTACTGATCCCCTGGTTCCTCCGGCTTGGCCCTTGGGGCCGGACGCTTTGGGACCACGCTCTGGGAGGTTAGTTGAGTTACAAGTTCCCTGTGGGGGTTGATGGGGACTCCCCAGTGTTTGGGGTGGATCAGGGAGGGAGTCGCGGGCACTTCAGGGCTGCTGGGAACAGCGGGCACCCAGTGGAAATAAAGATCCCTGGAAGAGAAAGCCCAGGACCAGAGGTGCCCGGTCTGCGTCCTGACCTCAGCCGCAGCGCCGGAGCTGCAGCTGCGGCCTGGGCCGGGCTCGGTGGCCCGCTTCTGGCTCACCATCTCAGGGATTTGGCCTTGGAGCTGGTTCGGCTGTTTCAGACCCTGGTGGCCCTTGCTTTCTGCTTGACCTTGCCCTCACTAAAACAGGGTATGTTCGTCGAGCGAAAGAGAGAACGCGTGAGAGCCTCGGTCGGGCTGGGGGGCGTCGTGAATCAGCAAAGGGAAAAAAGGACAGGAGTCCAAACCAAATCCGACCCTGAAAAGTGTCTTTTCCCGTGCGATTGGGGTGGGAGCATCTTTGTAAGGGAAAGAGAGGATGATCTGTTTTTTGTTGTTTCTGGGTTTTAGTAAAGGAAAGAAATAAGAGGAAATGTTTGTTTCAAATACTTCTTCATCGCCTTTCTCCTAACGCGAACTAAACTCTCCACCCCTTCCTCAGGAAACGGAATCCAGAAAAGAACTTGTCTTTCCGGTAACCCCGCATTTTTCCCTGGTCAGAGCCCGGGGTTTTGACTTTCCGAAAGGGTAAAGCCTAGCCGGGGAAGGACCTGAGTGCCGAGCGCCCTGACGTGGATGAGGGAAGAGGCCGGACTGCTTCTAAAGAGGCCCAAGCCAGTGCAGCTAGAAGACTTCGGAGAGAAATCTGCTGACTTCCTCCATCCAGGGGTTGGGAGCTTAGGCACAGAGCTCCTGAACCCCCCAAAACGGGAAGAAAGTGAAGAGTACGTGGCTTGCTTGTAGGACTGGCCAGGGGAGATTTGAAATAGTTTTGTGTTTTCATTTGCAGGGCTCGCAGTGGCCTCCGCATGGGGGTTGTCCAGGGCAAGGTTAGGCTGTTTAGGCCCCAGACCAGACTTGGGACAGCCCGGGCAGCAGTCAATCCAGGGAGCCATTTGTCCCATCACCCATCCCTCGGGAAACAGCCGAGACTTTATGGCCACTCTGTTTGTATTATCTGCATAAGTCTTTCCCCACCAGTTTGATCGAAACCGTTCCCTTTTACGAGGACCCAACGAAAATTTCCCGTCATATTTATCAGCTGGGAATAAAAATTTAGTATGGGAACTGATATTTCCTCATTTATGGGACGATGAAATTAAAGACCAAAGCAATTGAGAATTATATGGCGTGGGGGGTTCCCTCCCCCCTCTTTCACATCTCCTTTATTTTCCTGCCTGGTGTGTCTGTCCCTGGAGTTTGTCGTCCCAGTCCTCTGCCCTTGCCTCCCATTTTGGAGTCTGGTGGGCCCTTTCCCCACGGCCAGGTGCCGCTGGGACACCTCAGCTTTTTCTGCCTTTTCTCTCAGTGTTGATAGCTGGGAGCTGGAACAGCACTACGGAAGCCTCCACCCAGGCCAGGCTAGGACCCGTGGAAGGTCAGGAGGAAAGAGTCTCGCAGGGGAGGAATCTGAGCCGAATCTGGGAGGGGATGCTGGGAATCAGCAGGAGAGTTCGAAGGAGAGAAATTTTAGAATACTCCTCAAAAACAAGTCCCTAGGCATAAACTGGGGAGCCTCAGGAGAGAAGCCGAGTCACTCGGCCTCTGGCCTGTCTCCTCTACCAGGCGGACTGCAACCCAAGCCCACCTCTAACCTCAGCTTGGGGAGGGTCTGGAGTTGCTTCAGAATCCTTGGCATTATTAATGGAAATAATACCCCCAGGGAAAAGCCTCCCGCCTTGCCTCGCACCTCCTCACAAGAACGAATAGTGTTTAAAGTTGAAATAATTAGAAGTATGATAAACACGGCCCATTAATGAAAAAGGAAATCAAATTCATCAGCCTAAGTGGGACCCCCGGTGGGACAAATGTTTGCCTTTAATTACTCAAGATAAACGAAAATCCGGCACTGTTAAACAAGAGCCCGCTAGCTTGGACGCAGTTTTGAGTAACTTGTTAGGTTTTTGCAGACTTTGGGATTCTGCCTCAGTGGAGGTAAAAGGAAGAAAGAAATGAGTGTGAGGATTCGGTGAAGGGTGCATTTGCATGGATCCAGGAAGTCCAGCCAGGTCTGGGTCCCACCCCTGCCCCCTTGGGCTCCGTCTTTCCCGAGGCCACGAGCAAAGGCACTTTCCGTCCTATTGTGCCGGCCTGGCGTTCAAAGGCATGTGGGCCGCCACGGCCACACCGTCTGCTGCCGCTGCCTGGCGCCCACCAGCCCTGCCCACAGGGCCAAGGCCCCTCAGCCTGAACCCGTGGCAACTAGATTGGGGTCCAGGGGAAGTCTGTGTTACCAAAATCACCAGCATATTGAATTGATTTAAGCCGTTTCCCCAACTTCCCGGGAGTATGGAGAGACCTGCGCCTTTCCCAGACTCCTGGGCTCCCCCTTCTTACCTCAACTTGGGGACTTGAAAATCCAGGGGCTGCTTTCAGGCTGTGCCCACACCTTCACAAATCCCACCCGCCTCTGGAGCCCTGGCCTCTTTGCTCTTCCTGCCCGGTACCCAGGCCCTGAAGGGGCAGCAGGGACGGTGCTGGGCCTCCTGCCGCTTGTGCGTCTGTGAGCAAGCGAACCGAGGAACGTTCAGGAGCTCCTTGCATGCTCCAGGAGGATCCAGCGGTTCCACCGGGCAGGCCAGGAGCTGAGGCGCTAGGGGTCCCCGTGTAAAAACAGAAGAAGGAAAATGTAGCGCTCAGTGAACAGAGAGAAAACTCGGCTGTTCTTTCAGTTGTACCCCTGAAATCACCCTGGAAGCACCCCGATTTTTCCAATGAGCATTGCTGGAATTTCCCCCAGAGATTAAGGGAGTCATCTGGCAAATTCTAAAGATGAGATGAAAAAGGAAGAGGGTAAAATAGCTTTGGGGCAAAATAATAAAATAGAATAAAAATAAAATGTGTGTACTGAAATGTCTTCGAGCGAAATGGAAAACAAGGTCAATCAGTGATTGCAGGGTTTTTCTTCTTGGTTTGGATGCAGAGAGGAGATAACTCATTCTTTTCCTAAATCTTGAAGGCAAGATTTGTTTTTCTTCACTAGCCAGGCTTTGCCCCAGCTGAATTGTGAGCAGGGCAATCCCAGGCAAAATGTGGCATTCTCAGAGGTCCAGAAAGCAGGTTTTCAACCAGGTATGGAAGGCCGAGGAAAGTGAAAAGAGCCCCTGGTCTACTTCAGATCTCAGAGCAAGCCCGGCAGCCCGGCCAGCCGAATCGCTCTCACATCTGGACGTTGTGCACACTTGCGCCCAGCCGCTGTGGAGTTTAGCATCCGTACACATGTCCAAATTGCACTTAATTGCATATACACAGCCACAAACATTCACTTTTACCCAAAGTGCTCCCTGAGATCCTTGAATCCTGAAGTCTGATAACTCTCGCCAGCCTGTTTCCTGGCCTTGCTGAAGGTGAACAGTTATTTAACTTTGCTTCCTGAATCGAAACCAGACTGCAAACATCTCGGAGAGAAGCGTTGGGAGGAGGAGCCGGCTGGGAGGTTGTCTTGCGGAGGCCTTGGTCCCCACTTTGATGGTTTGTTTCTAAGTCGCCCCAGTAGGTCAGGTTTCCAGCCACTGCCCAGGCAGTGGTTGGACTGGTTTGCTCCCAAGAAAATCCCCTATCCTCCCTCCCTGAGCAAAATTCTTGTTTGAAGCTCCACTTTATTTTTCTTTCCTTTGTGATTTCTTTTTATTTCTTTTTTATTCTTTATTTCCTCCTTCTCCTTTTTCTGTTTCCTTCTCTTTCCAGTTTCCTTTCCCTTCTTTTCCTTGTAATTCATTTTCCTTCCTCTTTTTGTGATCTTTTCTCTTAATTTATCTTCCTTCATTCCCTATTTCCTCTTTTTCTTTTTTCCTTTATTATACGATTTATTCTTTGTTCTTTGCTTTCCTCCTCGATTCTTCCCTTCTCTTTGACTTTCCTTCCTAAGCTTTCTAATTTTTCTCTGTTGTGCTGGGCTCACTGTGTGTGTGTGTATGGGGTGCACCAGGATTATTCTCTGGCCTCTGGATCCTGGCCACTCAGGCTTGGAGTTGACCTTCTCCCGCCTTCAGCCTTAGCACAGCTTCTCTCGCAAGGCGAAGTGTAGGACTGCCAGGCAGCGGCCAGCAGCCAGGCCTCGGCAGTCGCCATTAGAGTGAAGAAAAAAAAAGGGCTCTGCAGCACACCCCCGTCAATGCCAATGGCTGGTTGAAATGCCAGGCTCCAAAGGACAGTTATCTTCATTTCTGTTACCCCCAAATCCACCAGGCTTGCCTCTGGAGAAGTCACCCCACCTTTATCCTGACTTTAGAGCCAAACATTAAAATGGCCCAAAGCTGATCCCAGTTGGTTCCCCCAAGGTTGCAGAGAGGGAAATAAAGGAGTGGAGTGCTGTCACTTGGAGGTGGGAGTCAGGTCCAAGGGGTCCTCGTCCCATCCGTGGGCTTGGAAGCCCAAGGCTATGTCCTCACATGGGCATCTTTGTTTTCCATGCTCCTGGACTGCTGTCCTGTTGGCCTCTGTTCCCTTTGGTTCTGTAACAACTGCAATCTCTGGACAGGAGTTTCTTGGCATTTTTAGATTCTGTTTTTCTTCAGACTCACTCTGGATTTCACAGACAGCAGGGATGCAGGGCTATGTGTGCGGAGACAGTCCCAAATCAGCAGTCTGAGTCAAGGTTATGGATCCTGTCCACTTTGTGCAGTGCAGGGGAGGGGGCTGGGGAGGTTGGGGGTTAGAGCGTGTACAGGGGAGAGAGAGACGTCGGTGAGAGAAGAGTGTCTGCGAGAAAACCAGAGAGTGTGATGGGGAAGGCATTGTCCTGCTGATACTGTTGAAACTTTGGGGGTCTGTTAGGGAGTCTCTCAAGAAGATAAGAAGATAGCGTACAGGACTGTCCTGACATCCAGCAGCCTCAGCTGGCTGGCAGCCCCCGCTAGGTCCAAGCCAGGCTTCAGGAAGGATTGGCGCAAACTTCAAGCTCTTTCGCCTTTAGCAAGGAGAGGTAGGGTCAGATCCCCCCTCTTCCAACATATACACAATGAACCTCAGACCCTCTCTCTGTTTCCCCTTTCAAAGACCTGAGATTCCAGATCACAACTTTAAGTTACTTTTTTAAAAACAGAGGGGGGAGTCTTGTAAAACTTTTATGCCAAACAAAGTTATAAAAACTTCCCGGGCGTTGCCTTTTCCAAAGTTTTATATGAATAATAAAGAGTGTAGTCGCGTGCACAGCGTTCTGGCTGACTCTAAGCAGGGAGGGTTTAGCAGGAGCACTATCCAGCCTTAGGGCACCAGGAAACTCCAGGGGCTGCCCCCTTCAGGGAATATTGGCCCCAAAAGGAATTGTCCTACAGATTCTTGAGAGAGGCGGGGGTGGGGTAGGGGAAGGAAGGGGTGGTGCCCTTGACTCCCTTGAAGTTCAAAGTTCTTTGCCCTGGAGAGGAAAGCTTCTGTCCTCAGCCCACTCGAGAAATTAGCCCAAGGTAATTTCTCCCCTCTGATGGAGAACTGGCTGCAGGTAACCCCAAGTCTATTCCCCTTTCAGACACCTAGTCTAGGCCTTTTTTGCTTCCCCCTAGGTCCCATCATCTGGAATGTTTAGAACCCAGGAATTTTGTCTCTCAGAGGTGCTTAGTGGGGGTTGTGAGCTTTCTTCCCAGGAACCCTGGCATCGCCATTCCCCAACAACCCAAGGTTCTGATTGACAAAGTCACCTCAGACCCAAAACTACTCCCCAACCATTTCTCATTTCAAGCGCCCCCGGCTCCCCCGCACCCCCAAAGCCCACGGTGGGAGGGGGAGGGGCCCAGAGTGCTCTCTCAGCCCGCACCACTTAATACCCTTGTAAACTCCCACGTGCGCTATAAACTTGGATTTTTACAACCAACATTCCTCCTTAGCTCCGGGAAACTTTGAACTCGGCCTCGGGTTTATTTACTTGGGGGTGGGGTGGGGAGCTGGGACTTGAGAAAGGCTGGAGGAAAAGAGGGAAAATGTGGGGCAGGGGGATGATGGGGTGGGGGGTCCCGGGTGCGCCGAGAGAGCATCCACTGCGGATTTGTTTACTATTTAGGGCGGAAGCATTTTCTAACACAGGCCAGACTGGGTCGTTAAGGGCGAAATGAAACTGGGTTTAGAGGCGCGGAGAGGGGGGCGCTTTATGGCGGCGTCTAGACTAGGATCTTTTGTTCCCGTACAGAGCTGTGGCTGGAGGGATTACCCCAAGAGGTTGAGCCCAGAGTGCCCCTGGCCGGCGAGGGGGGCTGGACATCCCAGAGTTTGAAGGTGGGTTTGTTTGGGGGCTACAGACCCCTCTGTTTTCGATTTTTAGAAGGTCACCAAGGAATGGCAGATTCCCAGGCCTGGGTCACAGAAGCCTTTGTTTTTCTTTCCTGATGACTGTCCTCTATCCTTCAGAAATCTCTTCTGGAGCTGAGGTTCTTTTCTGAGCTCTGCATTGCAGGGAGAGTGGTAGCTGCCAGTTTTAAATATTTTTCTCCAAAATCAAGAGCTCTTTGGAGGTTAATAGTTTGCTTTACAAACAGGTTTGTTCTATAGACTTATCGTTATTCTATTTAACACAGAACATGGCCGGCAGGCTAACCATCCCTGAGATGGCTAGTGGACAAACATACCTAGAGAAGTGTCACACACACACACAAATGCACAGAGGACCCTCAGTTACATTCCCGTGCACACTCATTAAACAGCGCACAAGCTCTAGATGTGCGTGTGGTCAGATTTACTCCGTACTACAGGCAAAAGCACACACATGATACTCCTCCTCAAGAGCAAGCAGAGGCACACTGACTAAATAAAATCTTTGTGTGTGGGCACACGAGGGGATTATGGGCCACATATACACCCTCGTTTGCAAATCTTGTCTCTAAGACCCATATTTACAAATTAGAGACTCAGACACCTAAGCTGCAGGGATCCCTGCCATCAAAAACAATAGCAGAGCCTAGATTTGATAGTCATGGTGCATTTTCCTTTCAGCCAACAGAGCAATATTGACAAAAACCTTTTAAAATTTACACAAAAGTAGAGAGAGAAGGGAACGATGGATGAGAGAATTGGTCCCAAACCTCTGCCCCCAAATAACAGATGAACTGACGGCAGACACAAACTGTGTCCTCACTGAAAGTGCTAAGAGGACCACAACTACCCTCACACAGAAGAAGCATGCAGCAAATATAGATGGGTGTGGCAACTGTTCCCACAGGTCGCCTCTTCCCCCAGTGCCCCATCCCATGCCAGGCCCTACAAAGCACATCTCTGCAGCTTTCTACACTGGACACCTAACGTATAAACATCAGGGTGGCCCCAACCTAGGCGTCTGGTTGTGTCTGGAGGAGCCTGGCCATTTGTGCCCAAGGGGAAGGGGCCCTGCCCCACCTTCCCACACTCAGAGGCTTCAGAGAGGACTAGAAGGGGGCTAGCTTCTCTTCTCCCCGCCTTCCTTCAAAACTGTATATAAAAATTCCAATAGTCTTCTCATAGATGGAAAAAAAAAAAAAAACAACGAAAACCCTACCCTCAACCCTACACATTTAACTGCGACAGACGGAGACATCTGGCAGGAGGGCGGTGGAGCCAAGAAAATTCCTATAAATTTAAATTTGATGATGGTTACAATTAACTCTACAACAAACGTGTACTTAAACAGAAAGAATTGCTGGGCATTTGGATACAGCTCAAGCTGCACGTGGGAAAGGAGAGCTTAAGAGCAGCCAGGGAATGTCCTTTGCTTGAGAGCGGGAGGAAACCGCTGCCATACTCCTGGCTGTGCCAGAGCAGGGGAGCTCCAGTTGCACCAGCACCTTCCTGTCTCACCTCTGCATGCCTGTCCTCACTGGCAGGGCTCCTCCACCCGCCTCCTCCTCCTCCGCTGCCTTGGGAGCATGGAGGGTTTTAAGAGGAGAGGGGTTAATAAAAAGGTCAAATAAAATCATAATATTGAACAGCATGAAATATCTTTATTTGCCACCAAAAAATTCACAGCAATCCCACTGGGACAGAAGCGGGGTGGGGATTGCACACGTACACACACACTCACGCACATGGAGAGAGATGGGTGATTTGAATCTCATTCCAGCGCATACTCCCCCATCCTCTCTGGGTAGAGAGAAAGGCTTGTGAAATTTATTTACAAAAAAAGAAATCAGGCCCCAGCAAGGGAGAGGTGCCCAAGCGCATCTCCTTGCTACTCTCCCTACTCCTTTCCCACCTCGATCTACCTTTCTTTTCTTTCTTTCTTCCCTAACAACTGCATAGACTAGCTCTAAATCCATGGAGTGGGGCACTGCTTGGAAAAAGGTTAGGGCACCTCAATGCACCAGTTGAGAAATTTCAAAGGAGTGCTCTACACATTTAGAGGGAGAACAGCTAGGCTCAGGAGGGGCCAGGGCGCAGACGGAGGTAGGACACGAACTTTGCACACCTAACACCAGGTCCAAGATACAGGAATTTCACAGCAAGGCAGGAGGATCACATTTAGCTACCCCAGTCAGTGGGGCAAGGTGGAGTAGGGGCGGGGAGCCAGGGAGGTCTCCCCTTGCAGTCAAGGTGTCTTAGCGGATCTTTTCACTGGGGCAAGGGAAGGCTTGCAGTTTCGGGATTGTTCGCTCAGGCGCCCACTAGCTCGCCCCTCCCCCACCCAATCCGAGCAGCAAGACGTTGTCCCGAGGTGTGTTTCTTTTAAATAAAGAGTCTTGGGGCCTCGGCGCCAAAGGGGTCCACTCGCCGTGGGTCAGACAGTTCCCTTCACCCCTTTTGTGAGGCCTGGCCTCTGTCCCCACACTGACAGTCAGACCGAAGGTGAAGGAGGTTCCGGAAGGCGGTGCCAGCAACGGCAGTGGGGGCCAGCCCTGGCCACAGTCCAGATTTCCACCCGCGGAAAGAAGACGAGTTAGGAAATAAAAAATAAAAATAAAATAAAATAATTTCCCCTTTTCCCTCCCTCCCCCAAAAGAGCCCGGTCTGCAGTTACAGCAGCGGATTTCCCGAAAAATACTGCAGCCGGTCTCTGCTCAGTTTTTTTTCTTTCATCCTTCTGTTCTGAAACCAAATTTTCACTTGTCGGTCCGTCAGGTTCAGCATGCGGGACAGCTGCAGCCGCTTCTCTTTGTTGATATACACGTTGAAGAAAAACTCGCGCTCCAGTTCCCGGATCTGGAATTTCGAATAAGGGCAGCGCTTCTTGCGGGTGCGGGGGGCGTCTGGAGGGAGGGGAGGGGGCAAGTGCGAGGAGAGGGGGAGAGAGACACGTGAGACCCGGGCGACCCCAGCCCGCTGAGCGCTCGGCAGCCCAGCTCCCAGCCCCTCCGCGGGCGCCCTCCCGCCAGGCCGGCGCTCTGCACGCGGCGGCCGCAGGCTGGGGCAGGCTCGACCCCCCTGCCGGCCCTAGCTGGGCGGCTGAGCGACTCGCGCCCCGCCTCCCCCGCGCGACCCTCGGGCGAGAAGCCCTAGCTGACCGGGTCTAGCGGGGGAAAGGGAAGCCACGTGCGTGCCCATGGGCCCCCTGCCTGCTCCTCTGCAGCCCTCTGCCCCTGCTAAGGGTTCTCAAAGTCCACTATCGCCTCCCCAGAAGTCTGGGAGGAATCGCGGAGAACAGGCGCGGAGAAAGGAGATCTGGCGAGAGCAGGAGGAATCCGGGAGGTCACCAGCGAGCAGGCACCTAGACACCCGCGAGCCTCTTCCGGGCCCCAAGCGCCCCGGGACGCCAGCCCCGAGCGCCCCGCGCGGCGCCTGGCTAGGCCGGCAGGGAGGCCGCAGACCGAGGAGAAGCGCGGAGACCCCCGCCTGGAGCGCAGCGGAGCCCGGATTCGCCTCTCCCCACTCCCCTGCCGCCGCTAGCCCCCGGCCGCTCGGGTTTCTGCTCAAGCACCCACAAACACACAGTTTGAACCTCTTCAAAAACAGTTTTTTAAAACCAGCAAGCAGCGGAGCAGCCCTGGCTCGCCTCTCTGGTCTCAGGTTCTGCTCCATTGCTCCTCTCCTCCACCTCTCCCCCTCTCTGGGTTTCTCCCTGTCTTTCCCCTGCCCTCCCCTTTCTCCCCCTCCACCCCTCCCCTCCCTCCCACCCCCCGGCAGCCCGGTTCCCCATCCTTCCTTAAATGCTCCTCTAAGTTCACGATCAAAGTTAATATCGCCCGCAATGGTGGCACTTTTAAAAATTTCACAGACCGAGGGAGATAACGGGGGAGGGGGGTTCACCCGGCTTTTCCAAAGAGCCCTTTTCCCTCCCTCCCCACCCCTTCTCCATCGTAAAAAGTCGAGTCGTTGGGAGAGAGGGCTTTGTAGGTTATAATAAAATCCTTTGAATGCTTATAAAACTCCACATAAAATCGGACTGACCCAAAACACGAGGCTGTCCCCGCTCCCCAGCCTCCCCCCTGCTCCAGCCCGCCCTCTCGCTCCCTCCCGCGCCGCCCGCCAGCGCCCGGCCGCTGCTACCTACTGGGGGCGGCTCCCTTGGCCGGCTCCTTGGTCGCCGAGTGGGCAGAACCGGACGAGCTGGGGTTCGTGTTCTCCTCCTCGGCCTCGGCCTCAGCACCCGCCTCTGCCCGGGACGCCAGTCCCGAGGCCGGGGGCGCCTCGGGCTCCCCCTTGGCCTCGCCCTTGCCGGAGCAGGGGGGCTCGGCGGGCGCGTCGCCGCCACCGCAGTAGGCGTTGTCGAAGAAGCGGTCGAAGGCTTGGGGCAGGACGCTGTTCTTGTTGACTGAGGAGTAGAAGCCGGCGGGGGCTGCATGCGGGGCGCTGGGGTGGTGGTGGCCGCCGTAGGAGCCTTCGTTTTTCATGAGGATCTCGGTGACGGTGGAAGGAGGAAGGCACTCCCGGTGCATAAGCTCGTCGGCCGCCGCATAGCAGGAAGAGTAGCTGTTCCGGTGGTGCCACTTGCCGGATGGCTCCAGGCCGTATGAGACCTCCCGGACGGGGGGCACTTGGGCTGAGTAGGGATAAGAGATCTGACGAGAGGGGGCCTGGGGCAGGAAGGAGGAGACGGTGGAGAACTCGGGCACGTAATAAGTGCAACTGGGCAGATAGAGGTTGGAGGCGCAGCTCCCTCGCTCGCCGAAGTCAGCGCCCCTCTCCTTGCGCGACGGCGAGCAGAAGTTGCCCAGGTTGACCGAGTTAAACATCGTTCTCCTCTCCTGCCGGCTCCGGATGGAGGTTTTGGACCCGGTGTAGCGAGGGGGGAAAATTTGGGAAGGCGAGATGACGCGTTATCCGTCTTAGTCTCTCTCCCCGAGCACGTGATCCAAAGTAGATATTGTCATATATCAGTTCGGAGCACTTCGCAGACGTAGGAGGGGTTCTCTCTTAGGTAAGATCGGGGACGTTCAGGCGATTGGTTTGCAAACACCGCAGAAACATTATGAAAATCAATTGCAGATTTGTATTCGTTTTTCTCTCGTCACTCCCCTCCTCTCCATTCCACAGAGCGAGCAAAGGAGGAGAGAGAGAGGGTTGGGGTGGGGTGGGCGGTGGGATGGGCGGGGGCGGTGGTTGGGAGGGGGTAATTGTATTTTTTTTCCTAGCTGCTGCTCTTTTTTTCCCCCAGGATTGGGGGAAGGAGGAGAGCGTTCAGTATGGGGGTCTTGCCTGCGACCTGTGATCAGCAGTAGACTGGAAAGATAGTGAAGGCTTCTTTTTCCATTGCTTGATTTCCCCCAGAATAGTGAATCCTTCCCCCCAAGTCTCAGGAACTCCTACCCTTCCAACTGGAGTCAGTGCCTGTTTACAAGAGTTGGAAGAAGTCAATTCGATTATTTTACCTGACCAGAGCTGAATGCCAAGACTGCATTTTAGGTCTTTAGAGAGGCTCCCCGGAAGAGTATCCGAAGTTTCCCAAAGGTGAGGCAGCCCAGCTGCGAGCCAGTGTCCCAACTTCGTCTGGCTTGCTGTGCTGCCGCTGGCTAGGGACTCCGATTAGTCATAAACCAGTAGTGAGCAGTGCGCCAGCCGCCCAGCCGGTGCCTGGCGATGTCTGGGAAAAACCTTCTCTAATGTTGTGTTAAATATTTAGTAAGAGAGAGTGGCCCTGGGTGAATATTTCATGCCTGCCTTTATTGTCAATCAATGTGCAGAAAGCTACATCCACTGTGAATTTTTAAATCCCAAACCCCAAAGAAAAAGACCAGAGTGAGAGTCATGTATCTCCTCTGTTGGGACCCGCAGGGTTGGAGGCTGAGCCTCAGCTAGTAAGCTAAAAAGAAGCCTAGTGTGTGTGTGTGAGGGGGGCGAGCAAGATACGATGAGGGGTTAGATTTGGGCTCCTATCCATGGAAGACTTAGAGGACTATGGGGTGGGTGGTACACATCCAAGTAGGTGTTTCTAGAACAGACTGAAAGGACAGTGGAGCTGTGGACCCTGAGGTAGGCAGGGTAGGACAAGGGGCTGCTCCTAAGTGGAAGCCCCCAGACCTTCTCCTTGGGGCTGCAGCCAGACCATATTGCCTCTTTCCTGTTTCTCAATACTGCCCTGCCTCTTCCAAGTCTGTCACCCTCCAGGGTGGCTGTGGCCCAAGGTGTAGGCTCATGTTCTGCCCTCCCTTGCCTCCTATCTCTCTGGGCACTCTAGGACATACCTGGGCAGCTAAGAATCACTGTATTGAAAGGTTCTGGCCTGGGTTCAAGGAACCAGAGCACTGGCATAAGCAAAAAGCAACATTCGTTTCTTGGAGGAGTCGCTAGGGCAGGATTTGTTGAGGAAAGAAGAAAAAAGCTTAAGCTCCCAAGCACTCAGTCCGCTGGGCTCTCAAAGAAAGCCAGAAGTAGCTCAGAACTCTCTTTATACCCCCTGACTATGGGCTAAATTTGGTTTTCACTTTTAAAAATGTATTTGGATTCGATTTTCTTTACTGAAGTACTGAGGCCCCCAAAACAGATAGGGAAGACACTGAAATGGTACCGTGTCTTCAAATACAACCCCCTCAAACCCATTCCTTCACTTTCCTGCCTCCCTAAAATTTTCTAAGCCTTTACAGCAACACCTCAGTGGAATCTGCCTCTGCATTTTTTTTTTTTTGCCTCTATTATGAGTGGCTCTGGAATAATCAGGAAGCAGCCTCTACCCACTCAGTGTTGGGCACTGTTTTCTGAACCCTCCTTTAGCCTTGGGCAGAACTTAACTGAGGGCAAAGAGGAGCTACATTGAGCTTATGTGTGGGATTCCGCTGGGAAGAGACCACAAAAGGAAAAATCTGTGGAGTTTTCTTTTTCCTCCAGCCTTTTTCAGAGACTGAGCCAGGAGCAGCATTTTTAATTACAATGGTGAGAAACTATGGATTGTGGCTTTTATGGGGTTCTCACTGACCTCATTAAACTTGAGTTTATTGGAGGCAAAATGTTCCCCAAACAGTGCTAGGACCAGTGTGAGGGAGGGAAAAAGTACCCCCGTCCTTTGCAGAGGTGTGGCAGGGCACTCTCAGCCTCTGCTTCCCCCACTTCTCTACAAGGCTTTGCTTCCATCCCCATCCTGGCCTCCTGGGCAATGTGGGGCCCAATGCCCCAGGGCTCATTCTGCACAGCCGGGGCCAAGGAGGGTGGGCTGCTTCCTGTGAGGAGACAGCTGTGGGCCTGAGCACTTGAATTTGACCACCAAAGTTTATTCCCGGGCCACCATAAAAGTGAGCCAGGCGGCTGCAAGGAGCTGCTGGCAGCCTGATTTCCTTGAAACAAAAAAGAAAAGCAAGAAAGAATGTTAAGGAGCATCTGATGTGCAGGGAAATTCTGGGGTCTACCGACAGAGACTTCTGAAATATAATGCTCTTTCCCTTAAAAGTAAGGCATGATGCTTAATTTTTTTTTTTTTCTAGTGTGGGTCCTTTAATTTCTCAACTTTTAAAAAACCCCAGCAACTGGCAGTTGCTGCTGGGGTCAAAGAGAGAAGGCCTGGTGTCTGAGGTCAGCTAGCTGTTGATTGGCAAAAATGACCACCGTGTGGGGTAGAGGCCTCCCTGCCTAGCGTTGGGTCCAGTCCACCCCCAGCATCCCGTCCTTGGCTGAGCTTGCTTGCCCGTGGCTGTACCTTCAGTCTGTAGCCTCAGTCTGCAGCGTCTGGTCAGGGCATTGGTTGCTCCTCAGAGTGGGATTCTTTTGTGACCACCCCGGAATCTCTCTGCTTGCAGGCCCCACTCCAGGTGGTGGCTACTATTTTTTTTTTTATCCGCTGGGCACCCAGTGGCCCCTCCATCCACCTGGAGTCCAAGCCTTCACCTGAAACTATCAGGCAGGGCCATCCTGCCTTTCTTGCTGGCTTTTGGTGGCCTTGGTCCCCGCTGCCTGGTGTTAGCATGCAGCTGCGGTCTGGGCGGCTGCCTCGGTGGTCTGGCCAGAGCAAGGAGACTCCAGCGCCCTTCCTTCCCACGGAGGGACAGCAGGGGCAGCTTCAGAAGGGGGCAGTGTCTACCGAACTTGGCCTGGGCAGCTTGCAGGCAAACTTCTGCACATAGCATCGACAGCCTTGCAGCTCCTCTACCTCTTCCTGCTCCCTGCTAGGGAGCAGATCTTGGTGGGGAAAAAGACCCACTCCACAGGCCATAAGCTAAAAAGGAAACCCTGTGAGGAGAAATTCAGCCCCATGTGGAGTCAATAAAAAGGAGGGGAGTCCCACTGGAGGACACCCAGTTGTTCCCGGCTGGCCTGGTAGGCAGGAGCCCTCATTACAGATGAGCTTGCACCTTTTTGCACATATTTCTCTTCTTTAGGACGGTACTGCTGTGTTGAATAATCCCTTCAGGGGTCTTTGTGGGATTTTCAGGCCAGTGGTTTATCTGGCGCCCAGGACGCCCACATGCTTACTCCACCCCCAGCCAGGGAACAGGAAAGTGAGGAACTTCGGATCTGTGGCTTTCACCTCTCCTCAGTCCTCGTTAGCGCCTCAAGCCCAACTCCCTCCCCAAGTGAGGCCACCTAAGCGGGTGGACTGGTGCCCGCTCTTTGGCTATGGAAGAGGTAGAGGGCCCTGAGAAGGGCAGCTCTTCCACCCTCACAGTCCCACCCAGCGTCCTCCATGGAGGGACTGTCCCTGGAGACCAGCAACACGACCCCATTTCTCCCCATAAAAGCCTTATTTTACGAGCCAGTTTCACTGGCCCCCTCACCAAATGCTCTAAAATGAAGGAAATGTCTTAAAAGCAGTCTGGATATGGAGTCGCTGCCACTGGGCCTTTACTTTCCAAAGCCAGTTGAGGCCCCACAGAAAATACTTTCTCTGGGGGAGGTTGCCCTCTTGGGCTACCCGGTCTCCCACTTCACTGCGGAGCAGAGGACGGGTTGGCTGGAGCCGCCATTCCCTGGTTTTAGCGCCTACTTAGGCTCCGGACCCAGTCCTCGCTGATCAAAGTGAGCTCTCGGCATTTTTATGAGATGAACTTCAGTGGCGCTTTACTTGTAATCAGACTCCCGAGTCGAAAATGTAGAAGGGAACAGCCCATCAGTCCAAAAAGGAAAAGGAAAAGGAGAGAGAGAGAGAGAGGGAGGGAGAGAGAGAGATTGAGAAATTCAGGTGACAGAGAAGGGTCTAGTCAACAACAAAAACAAAGACACTTTGCTTCTAGCAAGAATGGTGTGTGGATCTGTCCCAGCTTCCAGGCCCTGCCTTTCTGCCAGCACATTTCACCCAGATTTCGATTTTCAGGATTCCTGATGCCAGGGCAGATGGTGAAGCCCTAACTTGCCAGTGCCGGGAAGCTTGGTGCTAGAGCTTCCACAATGTGGACTGCTGTGTGGGGCGAATTGACAGCCTACCCTGCTCTCCCAAGTGAGGAAGATGATTTAAAAGTCTCCCCCATTTTGCTGCTTTCCTCTGCGGTCTCCGTGGTTCTCTCTTCACTTACAGACAGAAGTTGAGTTACAGGAAGATTCGCCTAAGATTTATCGCCTGGCCCCAAACTTGGAGAGCCTCGTCATAAACAGCCGTCTATTGTCTAGACTTTTATCTCCGAGTATGGATCTGGATCGTGCATTAGTGAGGCTCAGGGGAACATGGACTGACTCTGTGGGGTGTACAGTGCCGCCAGGGCCTGCCTGTCACTCCCAAAGATTTCTTTGGGTTAGTTTAGGAGAGTGAACAAATTTGTGTGTTCTTGGAGCTGGGCAGGTATACCTGAGTGTCCACCAGTGAAGGTAGGGAAGGTTTCTTTCTCTGTGTGTCTGGGAACATTTCCGTGCGTGTAGTTGTGTGTTGGGTGAGAATTTGTCACGGTTGTGTTTTGTTCTGGGCCATTTTAAGTGTTCCTGTCTAGGCTTTTGCGGGTTTTATTAACCTGCATCCGCTTGGCCTGTTTATGTCCCTCCAAACAGATCATCTGGTGTTTTTCAATATTGAAGCCCATTGTGTGTATCTGACTTCCCTGAGGAAACGGTTTGGGGTGATGTCGGCTCAGGCTTACTTCCTCAGATTTCTTAACCCACTCTAAGTCACACCTCAGCCTCTGCCTTCACCAAGGTGTCTGCTTTGCTTTACTCCTTATAAGTCCTACATTTCCAAAGTGTCTGCCAATTTTCTTACCACAGACATGCAGCACATTTTTACAGGGTAAAGTCTGGTTATCTCTATCTTTCTCACACTAGGGGGAAGCATCCCTGCTGGTAAACCCTCTCACTTCCTGGGGCACCCCATCGCAAACTGAGGGGACATCCAAAAGCCCCCTTCCCCATTTTAACATTTAAAATTACTCTGCACAGAACCCTACAACCTGTCAAACAGGGCCGTCCATTCCCTCCTTGGGGTTTCTTGGTAATTAATGTATCCACCCTGGCTAGATTCTAGCCCTTTGAGCCCAGCTACCTTGTAACCTAAGAGGTTTTTTGCCCAGATTTAATGTCTATGGGTGAAACACTTACCACCTTCGATCTTGGGGTCAGAAGCTACATTGAAAGCCAGGATATTTCACCATTAGAAATAATCAAATCAGACCTCTTTGTTTTTCATTATCAGAACATAGGATAGGAGGGCACCAGGGACCAAGGCCTAGGAGCTCTACCAACTGCATCCACTGACCTGGTTGCTGCTACCCAGGCCCCAGGCCCCACTTCAGGTCTCTAATAGTCCTGAGGTGCTCCTAACCACGTCGGTAAAGTGGGAGGGGGGCAATTTCAGGGGCCAGTTTTCTAGTTGGGGAGGGTGGAGATAACATTTAGGGTTGTTTAGAGCATTAAGTTTAACCAGAACCCGCCCCCCCATCACTTTCTGACCACCTTCCCTTCCCTTCCCATTAGAATTCCACTTTAAAAAGAAATAATTGGAACTAAAAATGGCTGTACCAGCTGAGCCAGAGGACAGGAAAAGAAGCTGCGAGATCCAGGAGAAAGGTGAGTCCTCTGTAAATACCCCTACACCAACAATACCTTCTCTCGCCTCTCCCATGCTCCCAGTCTCAGGGCAACCCCGGAGGAAAGGACTGAGGGTCCCAGTGCAGACTTCTTCCGCCCGAAGCCTTCAGCTGAGCCCACCGGCTGTCCACTGCCACCCGCTGTGGCTTCGGGTCTCTCCATCTCAGGCCGGCTGTGGCTCCGCCTTTCTCTCCAGTCTCCCTGCCTTCCTCCATTCCTGCCTCCCAGCCTAGTTCCCTGAGACCAACAAATATCTAATATACTTGCTTCTCCCGGACACACGGCCTGGGCTGAGCCAGTTCAGCACTAGAAATCGCTGCAGCAGTACCGCGTCCTCGCACGGTCCCCACTTTGCTCCCAATCCCACCAGCTGCAGCCTCCTTCCTTGCCAGTCGCTGGGTCAAAACGCTCCTCTCTCACTTCCCTGCTTCTCTCCCTTTCTTTCCGTCTCTGGATCCCAGGAATGAATACATCCAAGTCTCCTACCGCACCGCAGCAGCCCGCCCCATCCCTGCTACTCACTCGCTTCTCCTTACCGAATATACCGCTTTGTTTTCTGAAGGAACCCGTAATATTCAGACATGTAAGCTGTAAATGAACTTTTCTTTATGGCGTTTAATTTTCTTTCCAGTTCTTACGTCCTGCTGCACTTCGAGGTGGAATGAAACAGATTTAGAAGTCTGTAGTAGGGGAGAGGGGAGCGGAGAGATCGAGCTGAGAGTTACCGTGTGGAAAAGATACAGAAGACTGGGGGGGGGGGAGGAGAAAGAGAGAGAGAGGCGGGGTGGGGGAGGGAGGGAGCCCCAGCTGGCAGGGAGCGCAGCCAGACAGAGAAAAAGAGAAAAAAGTTTCCTGGAGTCTTCATTAGTTGACTTTCCTGTCCGGAGCTTCCCCTAGCCGGCAGCACTCACCCCCAATAAAGGAATGAGGACAGTCTTTATTTTTTTAAGGTCTCATAGAGTCCAGTGTTTACAAGACCAGAAATACCACTGCCGAGTCCTTCTGGAGAGAAAGACTGAAATAGAGGACTGTCGCCTTCCTTATAAGGTACGATGCTAACTTGACCTTCACTTTGTCATGGCGCCCCCGCCCACCCAGACTGCTGCTCGCCGCCAGGCAGAGCCCGAGCAACCACTGACCCTTGCCTCTCTCTGCCTGTCTCCCTCCCTCCCACCTCTCTTTCAGTCCTTGTATTTTCTTTTTTTTTCCTGCCTTTTCCTTTTCTTTCCTTCCTTGCTTTGTTTTCTCCTCCCATCCTGCCTGTCCCCATTCTTTCACTTATTCCTTGTTTTCTTGCCTGTGGTTTCATATTTTTCCTCCACTCTCTTGTCTTGCTCTCCACTTTTGCTTCGAGGGCAATCTCTTCCCCCTTCTCCCAGAGCCTTCTGGTCTCCTGACTCCCAGAAACAAGACAGAAATGTTTTCAGTGTTCCCCTTATTCCACCTTGAGCTGGCCTCTGTGGTGCCACTTGGGCTTTTGACCCTTTGTATGCATCCTTGGGGCAGAGGCTCTAGGAAAGAAGGCCGATCTGTGATCAAAAAAGGCTTCACTCCGGGGTGAATTACATCCACTTGGGGTTGGCAATGAACATGGCTTCTCATAAATCCCTTCTTGTTGTCACTGGCCTCACCTGCCATGTTTTCATAATCATAGCGGCCTGGTGCTGAGAGCTAAGCTCTTGATTGTGGGGAAACAGGGAAAGTACAGCTCCTCTGCTCCCTAGACTGAGAGGGGCAGAGTTCAATACCAAGTAGTTGTTCACTCTTCTCTGGGCTCTATAGCTCCAAAACCCCCAAAGATTTCCCTTTAGACATCCAGGGCAGGAGTTCAGATCATTAGGGGTTTCTGGAGGTTCCCATACATGTAGAAATAGGAAAAAATAAGACTTTCAGAGCCTCTCTACCATGGTTTTTGCAGCCTCCCAGGCCCAACAAATCCTCCAGCATTAACTCTAATCATATCTTGTGTGGCTATAAAATAATATAATCGACACCCCTATAATTACCTATTACCCATTTACTTGTGATGATTACAACACTAGAGGAGATAGATCTGTGTGGTCAAAGGGAAGCCAAGCAAATATCAAAAATGAAACTGGATCAGAGGCTTTCAGACTGGATCTCTTGTATTTTCTTGAGTATGTTTCAAAATCCCTAAGCTCTTACCTGGGGCCTCCTTGACTTAGGAGTAGCCATTTTGTAGGACTTAGGGTGATACTGAGAGACCCTACCATCTTCTTTTTCTCTATATCCCATACACCCCCTGGCCCCTCCTCCTTCTCCTCTGCACAGACACCAGAGAGGGTCAGACAATAAAAGGGAAATGCTTTCTCTTACTCCCCCTACAATTATCCGGATAATTGCATGAATTCTTCCTTGAATACCACTGTGTAGTCAAGGTCGGGATTTCAGCAGGAAGTGCAAGGGACAGGATTCCAAATGGGGGAAGCTGAAAGTCCTGCGTTCTTACATTCCCAGACTTTATAGTTCTGTCTAGTGTTACATTGTTTCTTCAGGCAAAGATCTTTGTTCCCCTTCAGTCATATTTTTCTCTTTCCCCTCCCTATCCCCCCCCCCCACCCTTGGTCCCTTTAAAGGAGACTCAGATCATCTGCTCTTAATAGATGACTATAAAAGTAAAATTAATTCCCCCTTGCCCTTTAATATCAATATCTCTCTGTTAAGTATGCACATCGGCAAGAATAAACAGAATTAAGTGCTACAACCTAAACCAGCAATTACACCCAAGGTGTTTCTTTTTTTAAAAAATTTTATTTTCATTGGGTCTGGCTTATCTGGGGGTGTTCACTCTGGTGTGAGATAACCAGGGGGTATTTGTATTTTTTTTTTTTTTTTACAAGCTCATTGGAGTCTGCGCCAGCACGGTAGAAAAAGCAACCTCGAAGCCAGAGAGAGAGAGAGAGTGCGCGCTAAAGGAAGAAAGACACTCAGCTCGCCAGCCGGAGATGAAAGGGAACCACGCAGAGCAATGCAGGGAAAGGAGCCAGGCGGCAGGTCCCCGAACAAATGTCGCAGAGGGCAGGACAGGCACTCATGGACAGAGGTTTCTATATTTTTAATTTTTAAACCTGAATTTGGGCTGGACCCGAAGAAAAGGGAAAATTCAGGGATGGGGAAGGGGGAAGCAGTTATCTCGGTTCTTGCTGGCAGCATTAACACCTAAGGAGGAAAGAAGGATGGCTAAACCCGAGTGGGCACGGGGCAGCGCCGGGGCAACAGCCGTGTGCTGCTCACACGCCGCAGGGCCCGGTCCTGGAAGCCCCCCCTCGTGGCCGCCGGAGCTTCCTTGCTCTCCTTATCATCTCCATCTTTATGACGAGGCTTGTTAACAAGACCAGCGAGCTGGCCACGCACATCTATCTCAGCCGCTTGCGCTCAGCCGAGCAGTGGCCGGCGGGGGGACTGGGAGGCGCTAATTAATTGATTCCTTTGGACTGTAAAATATGGCCGCGTCTACACGGAACCCGTGGACTCATAAACAATATCTCTGCTGGATGTGAGCACACTGTCTTTCAAAGAATTTTGCCATAGGTATGTGTCAGAGAGTTCTGGGGTTTTAGTTGCTAAGACCCAAGTGGGACTAATTTTTAGGAGGCCAGAACAGCTCAGTGTCAGAAAATGGCTCTCCAAAAAGCATTGGGAATGGACTTAGTTGAGAAAAACGGGTAAAAAAAACCGCACCTTGGGCTGTGGGATAGTCTTTCTCTGGTGCTTGTGTAGACCCAGTGCAGATTAAGGATGGGAACCAGTGGCTAAGAAGGCCGGCATTCTTTCCACCCTAGCTGGGTGTAGGGCAGTGGGCCTTCCCAGATTTGTGAGAGATCTAGAAGCCCACCCCCTGTTTCATGTTGCTCCCTAGACTCAAGAATTTAAAATAAAAATGTAAAACTTAAACAAACCTTACCCTTCAGGAACCCTTGAGCGCCCAGCACACCGCCAAGAATCAAAGAGCCTGCTACATACCTTGCCAGAGCCTGAAGGCTTCCCCCTTTCTGCCTGGCAGCAAGGAGTGTTTCTGTAACACATTTACCTTAGACCTAAAAGAGTGCATCGAGACACATGAGGTGACCTAGTTATACAAGGCTCGTTCTATACGTATGATTATGCAGTGGACCCTGATGCGAACAGGACTTAGTATGTTCTAAATATGTATTCCAGCTTCAGGTCAGAGCTACAACGGAAAACAGAGATAGGAGATCACTTATGATAATGCTTAAAGCCAAAGACAGAGAATAATAAGAATGTAAAACAGGAAAAAAAATTTCAATAGATGGAGATTGCAATTCCTGGTGCCCAGGCTTCCCTCCTACTCTTATTTTTAAAACCACCAGGGAAAAATATATTATAAATATGCGAGCCCAAAGAATATAACTGCTGCATACATACACCACTTGTGTATGTATGTTTAAACATTTGTGTAAACATTTACAGAATATATTTTATACAGTGGGTAGATATGTACTTTGTGTATGTATATTTTTCATGCATTTTTACCTATATCTTAACATGTGTATTCATTTTCCATGCATTGATTCTATATATCTTATGGAGTATACAAGCATGTGGCTAAATAGATTTGGGGTTGCACATTCCCAAAGCAGAATATATGTACATGGAATGTTTATATATGTATGTGTACGTATATGTAAATACATTTTTTTATGTGGTGAATATATGTGCTCTATGTAGTATTCTCCCAATACTTTGCTTTCCAATGCAGTAGATAAAAGTGCTTCTATTGTATATTTCACAGAGAAACATTTTTCACGCCCAGAATGCACAGGTAATGTAAGTCTCTGTGCATTTTAGACTGTTTGTATATATTGGTTACAGCCACAACACTGTCAGGTGTAGCGTGGAACATCTTTCTACAGTACTCCGTCCCTGTGAACTACGTGTCTTCACAGAGTGCTTTCTAACCTATGCTTGAAGGAAGTTGCCCACTCCTGGGCAGAGAAAACAAGGCGAAGACTTGTCTCTAAGTATCCAGTAAACACTTCGAAGAAATCGTCCACCGGCAACTGGCTAGTCCCAACTAGAGGTCCGAGTGTGCTTAGTCTCATGGAAGCCAAGTTTCTTGGCTCCTGTGGTAGGCTCCAGCAGATGGCACAGGCTCTCGAAGCCTCAGGACAGAGCGCCAGTGCCCAGAATCCCTGCTGGAGGGCCGACTGCCGCTGTGGAGATAACGGCGTTCCCGCAAAGGGAAGGCATTTAGCAAAAAGGTCTGGTTCCCGCAGCGCAGCAGCGCCTTAGGCGCTGCAGCTCTTCGAAATGTCTTCCGCAAACTCCCCCAGGGTTAAGGTGCTTAGAGACAAGGAACTGGGCGGGACCGGGTCGGGAGAGACGGTCTCCACTGCTCCGGCCAGCAGGGGTCATCCCGTCCTTCCCGGGGGCCGGCAGCCCTCCGGAGGCGACCACAGCTGCCGGCGCTGTTGAGCGGGCAGCTGCGCGGATCCGCCGGGCTTTGGGCACGCTGGGCTTCCTCTTCCCGGAATCCCGGAGGGGACTGCAGGCGGACCAGGATGGACGAAGAATCGGACCGGAGTCTCAGAGTCCTCTCCACCGGACCTGGGCCCTGCGGGCTCCAGGAGTAAGTCGGGGAGCAGGAGCAGCCCAGCTCACCACAAGCTGCCGACCCGCCTTTGTCTCAGGGCCGCCCCTACAGCAGCGGCCGCAAAGCAGAGCGCGGGCCTGCAGCGGTGAGCGGCGGGAGAGGCTGGGAAGTCCTGCGTCAGTGCGCGCGGGCCGTGGGCCTCTCCACGGAAAATCCGCAACTCTGTCTCCATGGAGGCAGGGGTATAGGGCGGCCTCTCAGGCCAAAGTCAGGGCATAAGAGTGGCTGTAGGATTCCGGACCTGCAGTTCACCTCGCGCTGAACTACGCCAGAACCTTCCGCTTCTCCAAATGCCCACAGCGAAGAGAAGTTGGGCGGCTCAGGGTGTTTCCCGTGCGGCCCGGAGCCTAAAATCCGCTCTTGCTTTCCTAGACTCTAAGGGAAAGGTGGGCACGGGCTCCAGCTTGGCCGGAACCCAAAGTCCCAGGGGTTTGCTTTGTTTGCAGATCTGGGCCCGCAGTCCCTGCTCGGCTCTGGGTCTCACCCATCGATCGCACTGGGTTTCCGGCTGCATTAGCATCCACAGAACCCAGACTGCCGGGCCCATCTCCTCCTGGCTCGCTTGAGCCTGGCTTTAAAACCCCAGCTTCTGCGAGGCAGATCAGAGCGAAGGAGAACAACTTCATGGGTGACCACGCCAAACACAGAACTCATTCGGATGATATAAGCGTAGACACACACAACAGAAGTGATTCCCTAAATTATTCAGATAATTTCCCTTTTTTTGCTGCTCAAAATGCAGAGACACGGAGTGCTTTGTCTTAATGTGGAGTACACTGTAGTTTGGGGTTTAAACTAGACAAATAATTGCAACATAGGAAATCTTCAGGCAGACCCAGAGCTGTGCCCTGAGTATTTGAGTGTTAGACCCAATCATGGCCTTTTTTTTTTCTTTTCTGGGAAACCAAAAAAAAATTGCTTTTCAGCCCCAAGTAGAAAGCTGTAATGTTTTTCCTTCTCTTCCAACTCCCTCAGTTATTGAATCTGGGAGCCTGCTTAGACACTACCCAAGAAGGTGCTTTCTCTCTGATTAAAAGTGTCTAGGAAGAAGTTAAGGGCCAGTTATTCACGGCCCCTTTAAATTCCACTCCCATTTTTTTTTTAAAGTAGGAAGAATTTATTGAGAGAAAGAAAGCTTCTGTCTGAGAGGGACAAAAAGGGGCCTGGAAAGTGGGTTGCTCACCAAACCCGCTTCTCAAGGTTATTTTATTGAGCAAAGCCACGCGGTGAGGCAGGCTTAAGGTGGGACAGAACTATCATCAATCCATAAGATTACAAGTATAGTTGCTTAGGTAATATTGATTCATTGGCAAATCATAGGATGCCATGCCCCATTTTTTAAGGCCAGAAATGTCTCCACTCTTGGCCCTTCCTGTGTAGACAGATTTAAGAAGTGGACAGTCTTTTGCTGGACTCATTGGGATTCAGACATTCCCTCTCTTATTCAGGCCCTAGCATAGCCACTAGCTCCTCCCCCAGGTCATGGCTACAAGAAGGTGGACACCCCCACCACGCCTCTCCTGCATACTCTCAGGCCTTTGTATGAGTACTGCCAAGGCTTGGGATCTAATTCCTGCCTGTACCCTCTGGCTCTGTAAGGCACCAGATGATTAGGAATAAAGGCAAAATGGGATTTGGTGTAAATTTGCTAGATTATTTGATTAAAGAAAGGGAGGGAGGGAGAAAAAGATTTCCGGTAGGAGGTGTGTGGCTCTGAAGTCTGCTCAGTGGGGGCCCCTGGTATTCCTGGGAGGATGGAGCGGGGATTTGGAGGAGATTCCCATGACTGGAGCCAGACAGTTAGAAAGGGTAATTAGTGGGCAAAAGAGGTACAAGGATGGAGGTAGAGGGAGGGCATTGCATAGAGAAAGAAAGGGTGGGTGGTGGTGCACAGGGCTCACGGGGGCATGCATCCCATTGCCACCAGCCTGGACCTGAGCCTATCTGTGGCAAAGCATGCTGGCTTCAAGAGGTGGAGCCTACTTCACCAGCTCCAATAGGCCTTTAGTCCCCTGCTCTGCTCGGTCACCTAGCAATGCACAAAATGTCCTCTCACAGTAAAGCCTCTGGATTAGAACCACAGCGTTGAAACTCTGGACCCACCAACTCCCATTTCTTTCTATGTCCAAGGCACTCAGTACCCCCAAGTCTCAGCTCAGCTTCTATTCTTCGGGTTCTTGCAGTGTAGACCTCATTTTCTGCAGCTAGTTTCGCCCCCCTCTGGGCTGTCCACATTATTTTTACAAGCCCATGACTCCTCAGAGCCCCCTCTCCTCCCCCTAGTCCATCACCCCCTACTTTTCTCTCTGCCAGTAATTGCTTGGGACTAGAGATGGCAGTTCATCAACAGATCTTGGTTGGTCGTATATTTTTGTTGCTTCTGCAACTGCTCTTCCTTTATTATACATGGATTATTTTTATTGTTCACCTGAGTTGGAGAAAATAAAGTGGAGAAACAGCTAGGGCGCCGGGACTCACTCTTTCTGGACAGGGTAGATTATATTTGGGGACCCCGTTTTAAAAATTGTTCTCAAAAGTCACAGCCATACATCCATGTTTTAATTATTAATATTAATATTAATATGATGAAGCAACTCTGTACAAGGACTATATAAAGAGGAAACGTGCTAAAGACAGACATTTGAATAGAGAGTGCTGTACAGAGAACTGGGAAGAAAGATAGGGGAGGGGTAACTACCCATAGGGACTACATTAGGTACTAGCGACAGACACAGAACAGGACACAAATAGACAGAGAAGCTCACTGAAGTCGAGATTAAAGCGAAGGAAAGAGTATTGCATATCTTTGCCCCCCGCCCCACCCCACACACTCCGTTTTGGAGTGTTCTGGTCTCTTTTCTATTAGGCTGTGGGAGTCAGGCCAGGGTGATGGAGCTTGACTCCAGCACCCTAAAGCCTACTAGTCACAGGAAGGGCTCCAAGAAAGGGTATAATAGTCGACCAGGCTGGGGTTGGGGAGTAGTGCCTCATTCCTAGACCCAGCCCTGTGTAGACAACTGGAATGAAGGTGCTCTCAACAAACGTACATGGGTAAAACAAGTGGCGGTGGGAAAGATGTTTGTCAGGTCTCGGGTGCCCAGTGGGAGATGAAGGCATATGATTGTATCTCCTCTCTATAGGGCTGTAATGGTCTGTGAGGCTGCAGGTCTGCAAGTGCAATAGGGAGAGGGGTTGGGCCCAGAAGTTTGCTGGCTTCAGCTGTATGTGTTTGCCCACGTCCTGGCACAACCCTGCACAGGGACTTGAAGCCATGTGCTGTTGGGAGGGTCAGGTACTCTGTGGATTGCTCCTAAGCTATGGAGACGCCCCCTTGCAGGAAACACTCCAAACTAGCAAGCCAGTTTCACACTGTCCAGGCTGCCTTTAAGTCCCATCAGGCTGCTGTTTCTTACCCCTCTTGCTGCCACAAGGGTGGGAGAGCAGGTGCAGGGTTGGAGGACTCAGAGAAATAAAAACGGAGTGCATGAAAACTGATGGGCTCTTCCCACTGCCCCTCTCTCAGGAGCCAGCCCAGGATCCATGGGACTGGGA